GGGTTTTTACTATGTTTATAAGGGACAGAGTTTCTGGTTTCTTGCGCGGGATTGCTCGGGAGGTAGTCCCAGAAACCACAAGCAACAGTCTAGCTACCAGCACCGCTTGTTGCTCTTCACTCCCCTGTGTTGCCTTACTGCTCCGCGTCTCCGACACCCCAATCCCACTCCACCTCACTGCCTAGCCACCCGACCACGTCTGCCCCCTGTCGACGTCAACCTTGCCGCCTGTCCACCACCGGGCATGAACCGAACTACAGATACAGATCCTCGCCTTCCCGTGACGTGACGACCTGCAGCTACAGCTCTCGGGAGCATGTGTCCATTTCCGACCTTACTTTGAAGGACGTTCCTCGACATGGGTCACCGTGCCAGCACGCGCTTCTTCGAGTTGGATTTTGGCATCAAGCTCTTTTGCTTCGTCGAGCGTAACAGCAACCTGTCAAAATAGATTAGCGGGCTCACATAGAGAAGCTGTGCGCCGCTGTCACGTACCGCATCACCAAACAGGGCTGCCACTTCTTCCAGTGGGACGTTCGCGGTCTCCGGGAACCAGAGGTAGACGCCCAAGATGAAGATGGCATCGGTGAAGATGAAGATCAGGAAGAACCGCCAGCTGATGGCCGCGATGGCGATCGGCGTCACCTGGACCAGCATGATCATGGCCGAGTTGACCGTCGCGTACCCGATTGCCACGCCAGTAGCCCGGATCTCGGTCGGCTGCGCAAAAGAAAAAAAAAGTAGTGAGTAAGATGATCAAAGACCCGTAGAGGAAAAAGGATCGTGTAGATAATATCCTACCATGATTTCCGGAGTGTACGCAAACCCAAAGCTGTTCAGGATCCACGCGTAGCCAGTGAGGAAGAGGAACATGGACCACAGTGCCAGCGCGCCCAGCGTCTTGTTCGTGCTCCCTCCGTTCTCGTAACGGGCCCAGAAAATCACCAGCATTATGGAGGCGATGAGGACGACGGTCATGGAGATGAAGAAGGATACCCTGCGACCCAGCTTGTCGAACAAGGACGCGCCGATGGTGGAGAAGATGACGCCCACGGTGCCCCAGACGCCGATCAGGATGAGGGCCAGCTTGCCCGTGACGCCGAGAGAGCGGTACAGGATGACCTGGTAGTTCTGCAGGGGGATGATGGCCGTGAGCTGCTGGAAGAAGAAGTAGAACATGACGAGGCCGACGCGGCGGCGGTACGAGGCCTTTTTGAGAATGGCCACCAGCCCGAGTTGAGGGGCCTCGCGTTCGATCCTGATCTGGGCTTCAATCTGGTAGAACTCGCGACGGTAGAAGGGAACCTCATCGTCTTGTCCTGTGGGATCGTGGCTCCCGTGTAGCTTTTCCAGGACAGCCAATGCTTCGTCATGGCGGCCTTTCATCACGAGCCAACGAGGCGACTGCGGCATCCAGAAGGACCCCACGATCATGATCAATGCGCAGAGGAGTTGCAGGCCTAGGAAGATGCGCCATTTCGTGTCACCCCTGATATAGGAGAAGCCTAGACCCATCCACTCGGTGACGGCGAATGCAAAGTTGACGTTGAAGCTAGGATGAGCCCAGTTTGTCAGCAAACGACTTTGTCCAACTCTTCTCAAGAACGGGAAACTTTTGGCCCTCACCTATAGAGACCTCCGACCCGTCCACGAACATGTGGAGGTGACAGTTCGGTTGCGAACAATGGACACAAGCTGACGATGATACCGCAAGCTATGCCTCCGATTGCTCTCCCGGCCAGCAAGACCCCGAGGCTTTGCGCGCCGGTCTGCATGCCCGCGCCAATGATCGAAGCAATTGAAGCATAGCGGATGACCTGCACACGCCCGAACCTGTCGGGGAGGTACATGTTGCTCAGGGAGCCCACAAAGTTGCCTGCATAGTAAGCAGAGCCCAGGCCTCCCAGGGTTGTGTGGTTGAACTTGAAATATTCGATGAACTCGGGGTAGCCGATGATGGAGGTGGTGAGGCCCGAGTCGTAGCCATAGAAGAAGGCTCCAAAGGAGCAGTAGATGATGCAGACTAAGTTGTACCTGTTCATGATTGCGCGCAGAAGAGGGAAGTGCTTGGCTGGACAAAAACCGGGGATGCTGGGGAAGGAAGATCTCCTTATACATGTTCCTAGGAGATCACATTGGATGGGGACCGAGATACTCGGGTTTCATACCTAGGTAGGTCGGTAAGGATAGCAGGCAGACGGAGCAAATGCCCGGAATATGTATGAGGGCCGCCATCTGAGCAGAGAGTTTCTTCTATCAGCATCATCTACCAACGATTCCCTGGGGATCAGCCTTGCTATTGCGGAGGAATGGCACTAGTGTGGATCGCTTCGGTTTGAAATGCCCCGTACAAGTCCGCCAAGCCGGTACCGGAATAGGATAAACGCGGCAAGGTGACCAATGACGGCCGTGTTTTGTAGGATACGGTTCGTGGGAGAGCCAAAAAGTGGGAATTGGTTCTTCCTGGTCGCTTTTGCATGAATCGTGTTGAGCAAATGCCAGAGTCAGGCCGGGGAATTCGGCATGCGAAGCGTGAGAAAGCCCCGTGGGGATGTCCATGCAAGCGGCCCCTCCCAAAGGTCGGCCGGAGTCTGCTTGCTCTGAGAGGACAGATTATATCGGAATTAACGTAGGGTCCGGGACCGCGTTCGTGGACCGACAAGTTTTTCCTCCTCCATGTCCAAGCCAAGCCGGCAGCAGCGAGGTCGGCACAAAACTTGTCCTCCTAGCAGCCGAGAGAGCAGCCAGGAGAGGAGACAACTGCCACCTGTTGTATCAGAGGGGAGCTGAATGGACTTTTTCAACCTCCTGGTGCTGCATCGAATATGATCCCGTATACTATGCCCATACAGGAAACAACGAAGGTCAATCCATGCAGGAGAAAGTGGTCATGTGAAGTGCGGGACGAAAGTGGTGATGTGGACAACGGCGAACCCTGTGAGAGTCATGCCAGAGAGGTACATCGCAAAGCCACTTACTTGTTCTAGGCACATCGTTCCTGAATCTATTGACATTCTTGCGCTGACTGACCTCGTCAATGCCTCGTCTGTTTGGCTCTCCGGATACAATCCACGACAGCCCTCACACGTTCGAACGTGACAGATGCAATCTCCTTTTCTCTTCCTTCAACATTCGGCCTGATCAGATACTCCCAGCTGCCTGTTGCATTGCCGGGTTGTGAAAGGAGTATCATGGACAAACGGTTTATCGTATTTGATTGTCAATTCCAATGGGGGAATGGTCACCGGGCACGACTGACGACCTGGTCAATACAGGATCATGAGAAGACCACCTTCCCCCTTTCTTACAAGGCACTAGGATGCCCTTGGAGTCTTCAATGAATAACAAATGAGTCTGCCGGCCGCAGCTCGCCCTTGACGTACCACTCTCTCCTGGCCTTTTCCCCCGAGCATTCGTCTGCCTCTGTTCGGCCATCCACCAGATTCAAACAAACGGCAACGACGGTTCATCTCGATTGTATCAGCAATGGAAGAGAGTAGATACGTGCACCAATGTGTAGGGGCGTCAGACTGTGTCCCCTCCAGCAGTGGCGATTTTTCGGTGGTGCTGATGTTGATCATCTCATATTCGCCGGCTGAGAAAACGCCAAATGACGGCAAGCTGATCAGCCGGGGTTTCTGTTGGACTTCACGCCGTCTAAGATCAAGAGGTGTTTGGTAAACCCACACACATATAGATAACGCTCGAGTCAAGAGTTCTCGATAGCAGAACGGAGTTGCTTGAGACGATGGTTCCGCAGGTAGACATTATGGTTTCTTTTCTCGGTTTCAATCATCCCACGCTCAACCAAGTGATTGCTGGCTTCTCTTGACTTTGTGTCTGAGAGTATGGGAACGAATCGGCTTATTCGATGAGCTCCCCTAATTTTTGGAGACGAGAACTCCTCCGTACTGGCTCCGAACCATGATTGACCGATTTCCTTCGGCGTGATGGCGAACTCTTTTTAACCGATGATTCAGCCCTGATCTTGTGGGCTGGTATGACGACCGCCTCCTCTTCGGCTCCGAAGGATGAACAGACTTAGGCGCCGAAGTGGGTGTCTCAGCGGTGTCCGTACACTCTTGACTTGTTTGGCCATTCTCACTCGGAGCCACAAGCGGGGTTTTGGAGGCATTTATGTGATCAATGAGGTAGGGAATGACTTCATAGACCATTCCGTCGCTAGAGTTGGACGACCTGCTGCGTATAAATGAGAGGAAGGTGCAATGTATGTTGATAGGTAGCTCTGTCATGTAATATTTGTAGGTTGCGGTCCATGCGCTCTTCTTTGCAGCTTCGGCCTCCTCTTGGAGCTCTTTTGCAAATCTCTGAGCTGCTTCGTTCGGTGATAAACTTTCTCCTAGGTCTGTCAGGAGCTGCCTGAAGCGAATCAAGACTTGAATATCTTCTTCGATCGGTATGGTCAGTCGGTTGTGCTTGGTCATGAACGCGTCGATGTCGATGCCGCGGGAACGGAGCCATTTTCGTGATAGTCGATGTCTTCGTCCGGCTGAGATCCCACACCGAAGGACTCTTGAGGGGGCGTGAGAAGCCTGTTTTCCATGATGGCGCAGGTTTGGGGGGATGTCGAAGTGACGGAGAAATCATGTGTAAGTTTCCTACAAGAAAAGGCGCAGGAAGTCCAGATCTCCAGGTGTTGGGTTACTAATGTCAAGACTGCGGGGTAGCACAACTTAGTCAACTACAGGATGATAGAGTTCGACACTCCCGGCACTAGCAGCGGCCGACATTAGTCCCGGCGCTTGCCGACCTGTTTATAGTACATGGCTTTGGATTGAGCAGGCGCGGACGTATTAAACAACGACTTGTCGCACCACCCAACTTCAGGTAAAACTTCGTCTTGAACACCATCTTCTTATTCGAGTTTCAGCAGAGAGAAAGCCTTGCCTCGACTCGAAATGTCCATCCGTGCAATCTTGATTCCCAAGTCTGACGCTACATCTTACTCGACCAGGCTACCATACAATAAGGCATGTGTTAAGTTGGTCGGTAGGGAAGAAGAACCGTCTCGCCTATCGTCACCCGAGTCTTTGGATGCTGATGATTCGTGTGAGCATAACACCGAGAAGCCGAAACCCCAATTATCAAACCCAACAGCGTCACTCAATGCAGTGATACTACAACAAACAGCAGATACGCACCACTTTACATTTGGAGCAGGCCTAGAAAACTTCTTCGTGCTGCAGTCGGATCCAGAATCAACAGAGGATACCTGCTACATCAACCTCGCCCACTGCTAACTCTATTGTGACCCAGATACATCCGGAGTTTGGCTTAAAAATTCGTCGACATCTATCCTCCATGGGAAACAGCGAGATCAAGGTTACAATAGATTCGAGGTGGAGTCTGGCGCGAGTGCACCAATGCAGTCCGGAGTATGGGATGTGACCCTGGGACCTGGATTGGCCTTTACCATTTTGGTAGCATTTACTGGGCCCTTGGATTCAATCACAACAAGCATTCTTCGCTCATCAACAAATGACACTCTACCACCCAAGCACTCAGCCGGGCACTCCAGGACTCGAAACGACACCGAAGAACTACCCAGCAACGCCCTAACCCGCGAAGGAAGACTACAGGAAGGCGTATGTCGGGACCAGTCTCCCACCCCGTCATCGTCTCCTCCACCGAATGCTAGAGTTTGATCCTGCGAGCCGCATTGATTCAGAACGTCTTGTTGAAGAGTTACAAAAGAGACCACTCGAGTGGCGGCTTCTAGAGATAGAGAACTAGGATGTATCAATGATGATACTGCTCTTCATGCTACGTATACTCATAGTCCAATATCCCTCATTCCAATATGGGGGGCGAGGGACCGGTGGTACTGGCACATGCTACTTCCATTATAACTTCTAGGTCTAGACACTGCTAGAGGAGGCTAAGTGGGTGCGGGCCCTGCCCGTTTCATTACGAGAAATGAACCTCTGACACTTGTTCAATTTGCTTTGCTAGCATTGGAGACCAAAGATTGGCCAGCTAGCTGGAGGTAGGGGCCACACACTTGGATACTTCGCTGCTCTGCCACAGTCAGCATTTGCAACCTTCCCAAGCAACTCCAAATGTCAGGGTCCGCTTCTTCTACTTCATTCAGCTTTGAGGCTACCATTGCCCCCTCGTATTATCGGCGGTTCGTTCTCCGTCTCCCGTGCTGTTCCACCATGTCCTTGGCGGCAGCGGCTACCAGTTACGGCTAAGAAGCAATCCTACCCCGTATTCGTATGCCTCTACCGAGTTCGTATCCTGAATGGAGACCCACAGACTGTCTCCACTCACTGCCCAATCGCGCAGTTAAATCACCCGGAGGTCACCCGGGGTGTCTATATACGGGATCCAACATCGACGTCGTGGCTGCTTGGCAGAGGGTTTCACGATGCTCTCAGCCACAACGAATCCGTTGCCTATGGCTTTCATTCTCCCAGACTCAATGGCGACTGAATGAGAGTCTGGCGATCGGCGGATGTTCAGCACGATAGTCACAAGTATGGTCTGTTTCCAAGACTTTGGTTTGGAAATACAATATCTCTCGCTCGAGCCTCGTCAAATGGTTCATGACTTCAAGACTTCGCACCGATATCATTTTGCTAGAATTCGGGCTGGTGCGGCCTCGAAGGTATGTGTCTCGGCACGATTCGCTTGAATACGACACTGTCACTGCCGGGGACCTCCCGGGACGATATCCCAGGACTTACGCAGCTTCCAGGCTTTGACCACTTAATATAGCATCGCAGTCGAGGCAGCACGCTATATCCAAGACACTTCCTCACTGATTGGACTGCAGGCCTGTCGCGAAAGTTGGTTATGTGGCTGCTGCGCAAAGGTCGGGCGGGCGCGCAACTTGTCTCCTCATTTTCAGGTCTCTTTCTGGCCTTGCTACAAAACGATGAAGTATAAATCGAACGGACAGGTCTGATGGAATCTCTTCCATCTTCCATAACCAAGCTTCAACGTTGCATCAAGATGAAGGTCTCAACGGTCTGGCAAGCTTTGCTTCTCTTTTTGTCTGCGGGCAGCACGGTGGCTGTCGACGATGTTGGTGGTCAGCCAGGAACGATACCCGCTACTTTCCCACCTTTTCTCGGGGGAAACTCGCCATGGTTTCCTGGTAAGCCTATATTCAACTACAATGGACCAACGACTCGGAATTTCTTCTAACTCGGTGTGTTGAATATAGGTCCGAATGTAACTGGAATTCCTTATGAAGTTCCTGAAGGATGCACCATCGACATGGCTTCCATCACCAGCCGCCACGGTTCCCGCTACCCCGACCCGGCAGTGTACAAGCAGTGGCTGGGCCTTCAGTCCAAGATCAAAAACGCCTCTGCCACCGGCGAGGGAGCCCTCTCGTTCATCTCGTCGTGGGATCCCACGCTCAAGAACCCGGGTCAGGTCCTGACTCTTCTGTCCATCGGCGGCTACAAGGAGATGTACGACATGGGCACCGCCTACCGCTGGAGATATCCCGACCTGTACGCCGACAACAGCAAGCCGTTCATTCTCTGGGCAAATGCATTCTTTCCCACTTCTCCTCGAGTGATCGACTCGGCCAAGCTCTTTGCCCGTGGTTTCCTGGGCCCGAACGCCACGACCCTCGGGACCGTGTACGTGTTGAACAACACCGATCCACGCGGACTGGCGAACTCGCTTGGAGTGTCGGACCTGTGCCCCGCGTACAACGATACCATGGGCGGGTCGTCGGCGTCCAAGTGGGCGAATACCTACCTTCCTCCAATCGTGGAGCGAGTCAACAACCTCACGAAGCCCAAGGGCGCCGTCAACTTCAACACCACGGACGTCGCCATGTTCCCGCTCCTCTGCGGCTTCGAGAGCGAGATGAGCGGCCAGAGGAGTCCGTGGTGCGACGTCTTCAACGAGCAAGAAATGCAAGCGTACGAATACTCCCAGGACCTGCGCTTCTACTACGGCCACGGGCCGGGCTCTTTCAAGAACAGCACGTTCATGTTACCTTTCCTGTCAGCGTTAGTCTCGCGCTTCACGGATGGCCCGAAAAAGACATACACGTCCACCGATGGGACGACCTTCACCCCACCCGCCCTGATCGTGACATTCACCAACGACGCGCAGATCAACCAACTGGTCAGCCAGATCGGCGTGTTTGACGACCAAGAGGCGCTGCCGTCGGACAATATCCCCAAGAACCAGCGGTACATCTCGTCACGATACGTGACGATGCGCGGCACCGTCGGCTTCGAGCGACTGACCTGCACCGCCGCGAGCGAGAAGAACAACCAATCCGCGAGCCAGTTTCTCCGCGTCATCCTCAACGACGTCGTGTACCCTGTCGTGGGCTGCGACTCTGGACCCGGCAGCTCGTGCCCGCTCGCCCAGTACGCGGATCTTGTGGCGCAGAAGCAGACCCAGGCTGGAACGTTTGTAGACGCGTGCTTTGGAGCCAACCAGACCGCGGCGAAGGCGACTTTGGCAGCGGCGGGCATCGACGGGACCCCGAGGACGACGTTTCTCACGGACCTGGCTGTTCCGTTTGCGTTTAAAGTGAAACCGTAGTATTAATGGGTCACTGACGGGGGGTTTGCCTGTCGATGTGGTCCATGTGATATTTGGCGGTGGGATTCATTGGGATTTGAGTGTGTTAAGTAGGAAGCACAATCTCGGGCTGAGTTTCGGGTACATGAGCAGATAGTAATTACTTGGTGTATGGCCTAACCAGCCTGCAAAGCTATGTATGTGTGACCCAGAGACCATGGTAGGGCTTCTTGGAGGCGTGCCTTGTTCCTGTCTCTTGTCGATTCTTGGCTTATGCTACTGTTTCAGGAACGTCAGACGTGCCTATATCATGACGATCGGGCTATGCTCCAGTCATGATTTGTTTATCATGCGCGCTGCACCCACTCACGGCCTGCTCTGAGGGACCCTCGCTGACCAACCGGTAAAGCACTATTTCCCGCCCTCTCCCACCACTTCGACGACCCGCTGGCGCTGCTCCTGCTCCTGCTTCCGAAACTTGCGCACCACCTGCAACGTGGCGTAGTAGCTGAAGGGGAGGGCGAAGAACCACAGCCCGAAATTGATGCTGGCCGTGGCGATCAGGGCGGTCGGGACGGCCTGCACGCCAAAGCCCACGGCGACCCCGGCGGTCTCGATGCCGCGCAGGAGCGAGCTGTACCGGATCTGGTCGCCGGGGGAGTCGGACAGGTTGCCGATGCACCAGTAGATGTAGTTCTCGACCATGCCGAGACTGATGCGCTCGAACATGTACAAGCCGAAGCCGCGGCCAAAGGTGCGTTGGTTGCCCCAGTCCAGCGTCGGGCCCGTGTGGCGGTACTCGTTCTGGATGATGACGGCCCAGATCCACGTGGCGCTGTTGAGCAGGGCGATGAAGACGTACGTGGCCACGGCGCGCGTCTTGCGGTCCTTGACCCACGGGACGTCGACGAGCGTGCCGCACAGCCACGTCGCCAGCGTGCCCACCACCGCCGACATGAAGCTCCCCAGCGCGCGCGACCGCACCGTGAAGTACGCGGCCAGGTACGTGCCCGGGTACGCCTGGATCCAGCCAAAGTACCAGAACAGGGGCGTCAGGAGGAGGATCGACTTGCTGCGCAGCAGGCGCCACATCTGGGCGAGCTCCGTCTTCCAGGCGGTGCCGCGCTCGGCTTGGATGCGGGTGCCGTCGTCCCGTCGTACTTTCTCTGGGTTCGAGAGCAGCAGGCCGAAGAAGAAGCCCAGGCACTGGATGGCGATGAAGGCCTGGTACGTCTTGTACCCGACCTTGCCGCGTCGGTTGGTCGAGTGGTTGATGGCGAGCGAGATGGCGCCGCCGATGATGTTGCCGAAGTTGCGGAAGGTGAACCACGTCGCGATGTAGCGGCCTCGCTTGTGCTGCTCCGGGTATCCTGTGGCGATGGCGCCCTCGACGCTCCAGAAGAAGCCCGCGCTAATGCCGCAGGTCACACTGCCAAAGTACACCATCCAGGTGGCTCCCGTGCGGTTGTTGAGGTACAACCCCGCGGCGTACAGGGGATAGCCCAGGGCCCCGATGGCGAGGGTCCAGCGGAAGCCGATGGCGTTGGTGAGCCACGGCCCCGCGAAGCAGGTCACCGTCATCAAGGCATAGAGGAGCGCGTTGGCCGTGTTGACGAGGTCGGGACTCTGCGATCCTCCGACCCCGAGACCGTTCATGGCGCTCCAGATCCCGGGGGCACAGAACGCGCAGAGCCCGACGACCAGGATCTGGAAGAGCGTCCTGCGGAAGAACGGGGTGCGCATAGCGCCTGGATGTAAGACCTCGTCGTCGCCATCTGCTGGACTGGGCGGCGGAGCTGCATGTGCGGTCTGAAGCTCTTTATCGGAGGAGAGCCCCGTCTTTTCGTCACCGGGCGGTGTAGCCATGTTTTGACAGCAGGGTGGCGGCTTATGACAAGATCAATAGCAGTTCTGGGAACCTTGATCTCGTATTTCTCTATTTTGAGAACAAAAGCCACATTTATGCCGCCTGAACCTAGGTAGACTTTACCTTCAATATACCTGTCGACAACAACAGGAATGCGTGGGGCGACCTACGCTCGCCATTGCCTGGGTCGATCACGCAAGGGTCTTGGAGGTCCTTGACGCTGCGCCACAGGAAGCCAACCTTCAAGAAACAGTATCCATTCGGGTTATCTCGACAAAGCAGTGGAATGACCCCCATATCGGCTAGATAGATGCGAGTTCTAGCCGGCCAATGGTCGAACAGACAAAAAAAAATAATGATCGTCAATGGAGATCCACAAATATGGCGACAGGGGACCAGAGGATGATATGATCGCCGCTAGAAACCGAATTTTGTGTCTTCTTGTTCTTCTTTGGCTCTGTCGACCGGTGACATTTACGAGTACGAGGGTCCCTCAAACCAGATCCCAAGTCAGACTGAGAAACTTGCTATTAGTGTCTTGGTGTCTGGGTGATCCGATGTAGAAATAATAACCAGACTTTTCTGAAGACAACGGTGTAGGTGGTGGATCTTGTATCGGCGAGACTGGAGGAGCCTCCTCTGAGGAGGCGACGATCGCCCTGATATGTAGATATTGCTGACTGACGGAGGCGACATATTTTGTGTTATTCCATTCCAATATCTCTATATCCTCATTCCTGTAATTCGATATGATTTCTCCTCGGCGATTTGACGGCGCTTGTGCGGCTCGGATTTCGGCGTTGGGCGGAGGAATCTGGGGAAATCAAAGATCTGGGGGGGAAGAACAATGTCCTTTTGTTCGTCTCCAACCGATCAATTCTAGACCGCTTGAAACAGTAGCAACATATTCCGAGGGAAACGGTTGAAAGACAGTGGCAAGTCTAGGAAACACTTTGGAAGATTTCGACAGCAACGACAATATTGGTGGCAGGACAAGACAAGACAAGATTCGATCAGGCGGGGGAAGTCAGCTACGATGGCCACAGCCAATTCATTGAGCGGGCGATGCTCGAACCAGCTTCGAAGCGTACTACGCCTCACAAGACCAATAGCCAACCAACAGTGTGGGCAGAGCAGTTCTCACAAGCGAAGCCCAGGTTATCTTCCACTCTCTGCACAACCCGCAGCGAAGATACCTGGTCGCCAACAGCCCCAGCGAATGCTCCATGTAACCACTATCCGTCAACAAAGCGAGACAGTCTCAGGCAGTGACAAGAACAGCAGCGGCGACATCATCTGCTCTGTGACTCCCTCGCCGAGCGGGGATGGACGGACGGTGGCCACCGTGACAATCTCCAATGCCGCACGGCTAAACAGCCTCAACAGCACCCTGATCGGCAAGCTCACGGCGACACTACGATCACTCGCTCGTGAGCCCAACTTGAGCTGCGTAGTCCTCAAGGGCGCCATATCAGAGAGCAAAGTCGCCGCATTCAGTTCCGGCGCCAACATCTTTGAAATGGCTCGGATCAACAACTACGACGACGCCAAAGACTTTATCTCGCGTCTCCATGGGGCGTGTCAGGCGGCCAGGGATTTGCCAGTGGTTACCATTGCGCAGATCCACGGACTGTGCTTTGGCGGTGCGCTGGAGCTGGCGGCGGCGTGTGACTTTCGATACGCGACGCACGAGTCGTCCTTCAGTATGCCGGAGACGAAATACGGAATCCCGTCGGTGATCGAGGCGAGGCTCCTGGCGAACATTGTTGGCTGGCAGCGGACAAAGGAACTGGTGTACCTCGCAAAAATCTACAATGCAAAGGAGATGGAGAAGTGGGGGTTGATTGACGCCAGTTACGACAATGCCGAGATGCTCCAGCGGGAAGTCGACAAGGCAGTGGAACTCGTGACCTCGAATGGGCCGGAAGCTATGAGGGCGCAGAAGAGACTGGTCACACTGTGGGAAGAGACAAGTCTGAGCTTTGGCGTCAAGGCAGGAATCGATTCCTTTGCAAGCATGTTCAGCGACGGAGGATCTGAGCCGGCCAAGTACATGAGAGTATTCACCGAGAGAAAGCACGGCAGAGGCTGAAGGAAGTCCTAGAAGGTGACTAGCTGAGCGGCAGCACCTCTGCGTTCTTCAAATACCTTGCCGTAAATCGCCGAAGGGCCCGAACATAAATTGCCTCGTTCGGCTGTCCATTGGTATCGCCAGGAATCAACCGATCAAAGTGTGGATGGTTGTTCCGGTTTCAATGAGAAGATCACAGGTGGCCAGCAACAGGTGGTAGAGGAAGAGTGCTCTATTATGCTGGTATCACTAGACCAGTGGATAGTCGGGAGAGTCGATGAAAGCTATTCGGCAGAAAGAGTATGTATGGAAACAAGCAGCTGACAGTAACTTCAAGAAGGCAAGAAACTCATATGACAAATAGTTTATGGCTATTACTGCCTGGGGCCATCACCTGTGCTGTTTGTCGACTCAGACACGGACTCGGGCCATCACAATGCAGTCTTCGTAAACAGGCTTTCGTATTCTCTCAAACTTCCCTCGTAATAACCACCTTCATTCTCACACTATGAGACCCAGTGGAGTACTTGGAAAGATCGGATACCAGGTTTGCTGGGTCATCTTCAGCGTCCTCGTGGTGCACCCATGCGCGACCGAACCCACGGCGTTGGCATGGTGTATGGAGACCAGTTGAGCGGCACTGGTGGCTGAGACTCCATTATCGAGATATACAAGCGACATAATAGCGTTTACCGTAGACCTGGGACAAGGACGTGCCCCGTCGCTTTCGTGATCCTTGGAACGGATGACGCCACATTCCACCCACTGCACTTAGTATTTATGTACTTTGCCCAAGGCGGAGAAGGCCACTTTAGTACTTGAAGACCGTAGGCGTGTCCCTTTCTCTTGTATCGAGTATTATATTGCTGAGAGTAGTTCGCATACTCGACAAGCAGCAAGTCACATCCTGATTGACTCTTCATTCGCGACTCTGTTCTCCAACTAACGAGCCATGGCTACCACAATCCAGCCCTTCGGAGCACATCCATCCAAACTCGATGGCACTCCGCTATCGTCTTTGCCCATCACCTTTGAACCCTTTGATCTGCCCTCAACCAACCAGCGTGTCCTCGGACAGCCTCATCCTGCGGACACCATCATCCCATTGGCATTGAAACCCTCTGTTCGTGATGGCGCCGACATTGACCTGGACACCGTTGTCAACACGATAAAGTCGCTCCAAGCCCAAGGCGGCATCCTGACCGAGGCCCTCGCCCGCCACGGCACCCTCCTTTTCCGCGGCCTGCCTATCCATAATGCCCAGGACTTTAGCAAATTCGCCCATGCATTCGGCTATCAGCCGCACGAGATCATCGGCATCGTGGTCAACAGACCGGTACTTGCACCCAACGTGGCCCCGGCCAACGAAGCGCCCAAGGACGTGTTGATCTACAACCACAACGAGTCTCCACAAGTTCCGCACGCCCCGGAATATATCTTCTTCTATGGTCACCGCGTCCCGGAGAAGGGCGGTGAAACACCCATCTCGTCGTCTCTGGAACTGTTCTATCGCGCGCAACAGGAGATCCCCGAGTTTGTCGCGGAACTCGCCGAGAAGGGCATCCTCAGCAGGGTCACGTACAAGGTCGACACACAGTACGAGGGCGGGTCGACGTTGAAGCAGGCCTTTGGCAAGGAGATCCAGGACGGCGACGACGAGGCGACCAAGCGGGCCAAGATCGAGGCCCAGATCGCGCGGTATGGCCGCGGCAAGCACACGACGTGGGAGTGGACCGACGACGGGAGCATCGTCTTGACGCACCGTCTGCCCGCCATCCGCACCCAGCCAGAGACAAATCTGCCAACGCTCTTCACGGGTCTCGCGGCATATTACAAGAACATCCAGCACAACGCCGACAAGGGCCGCAAGAGCGCGGCAGAGCAGCTATATGGCGACGGCACGCCCATCCCGGAGAAGTACGTCGCCCATCTGGCCAAGATCACCGACGAGATCCGCGTACTGCACAAGTGGGAGCGAGGTGATGTTCTCGTCTACGACAACATCATCGCCCAGCACGGTCGACAGCCTTGGGAGGGTGAGCAGGAGGACAGGGTGGTCATGGCGAGTCTCTTTGACGGGCATAGAGTGCCGGGTGCGTACGGGAACGAGGATTGGGCTCAGGTTGTCCAGGCTCTAGATGGATGATGTAGCCAGTCCGCCTTGAGGACATCGAATGTGGATGTCTTGGGGACAGAAGCTTCAACATTGCTCTTTAAGAAGTATGATTTTTTAACAGATTGTTTGTTCTTCTCGTTCACGGTTACTTTTCTATCGATCTAATACTCCCCAGACACACATACCACTAATCTACCCTGCGAGCTAGAGCCCAGCAACCATACCGTACGTCAAGACACCCTCACCATCTGGCCGCGCCCACCCCTCGGCGTCGACGACCCCCTCGCCAATCCTGACCAGCTCGACAGTCCTGAATCCCAAATGGGTATAGACGTCTCTTGCGTGCTGATTAGTCGCCTCCAGCCAGACAGGGAGGTTTTGCTCGCGAGCTTTCTTGAGAAAGGGATCCACTAGGTTCCGAATAGCGCCTGTAAAGTAAAGGAATGTACAAAGACGCCCACCCTTTTGGGATGAAGGGGGGGCGAGTAGAGACAAACGTCAGCAAGTACGTTCATGAAAACTTAAAACAAGTCTTGCTGTGGCCTAATGGGGGACAAGACACCATTGTTGAGTAAACAGTTCGCATGGTCGTACCTTTTTCTAGCCTCTCCGGCGACCGGGCAATGAGGTTGAGGTACCAGTGGGGTCGATCGCCGAGATGTTTCGCCTTGAGCGCGTCGTACTTGCGCCGGTACTCTGCGGCTCCTTCTGAGATGGCTGCTGAAGAGCTCGGCACGGGCTTTTGGATCCCTGGAGGAAGCCTGCGAGTCATGCGCCGGTCCGGTGGACCGTGAGGTTAGCGACCTGGCCAGCCAGCCTTGATAGAGAAAGAGCGTGAGATAAAAAGAAGAAAAGAGTATGTAACAAATATCTTTCTTCGCTTAGGTCCTCCGCCCTTCCTTCCAAAGAAAAACAAGCTAGGTACACTAGGCAGAGCGTATTTGGGTGATTCTCCCACTTACCATAGTGCCACGCCTGCCCAATCAAAAGTATGCAGAAGGATGCCTCCGTTCTCGAAGCGAGTTTTGATGAGTGGCAACCAATGCTGGACGCGGTTGTTGAAATCCGCCAGTTTGGGGTGGTCGGGTCGTGAGTCGCGGCCCAAGAAGAGGTAGCGATTCAGAGCGTCGTTGGCGAAGCCCGCGGCAATCACCTGGGCAAATTTGTGCACGTCTTCCTCCTCGCTGACGGGGGTTGGCTCGTGGGTGGCGGTGGTTGTGGTGGCCATGAGTACCGAGTAAGTAGGGATTAGGGATGGCGAGAGAGTGACTCAGTGAGCAAAAACCTCGTAGGTTCGGATAGGTAAGAGGTATAGCAAACAACAAAGCGCGCCGACCTGAACTTCTCACGGATCAAACCCAGTCTATGAGAAATCCCAAAAGGAGGACAACGGGATCTACATGCAGTACCGAGTACTCGGTACAAGGACATCCAACAAGCAATCCACGCGACAAATCGGACAAGTCCGCAACGGCATAATACAAGAAAATAATAGAGCCTCGTCAGGTATCCACATAACCACGTTCACTTAAGACTTTCATACTGGTAACCTCGTACAACGAAGTATCTCCGCGCAGTCAGTGTATGTACCATTCTCTACAAAAGAATGTCTTTACGAGATGAATTGCAACAGACGCCGCTCAGACCATTCATCCCTTCTCACAAAATCTACAACCGAGGCGTGAAAATTGGTTTCATATTACGTTATCGTGTCCTTTGGTTGGCCCAGGGGGAGACATGGTGTTAATATAGTCAAGATCATGCCATCGCTTGGCTCAAAAGCTTCAAGCGGAACAAACAATGGGGGGTTCATTGCTTGAACTCATTTCCCGGGTCTTGGAAGTTTCCTCCACCTCCACGTGGATGCGTAATGGATTCCGTCCATCTCGTGGGGGGAAGATTTGAGTGACATTGGAAGAGATGGTAAGAGACCACAGAAAAGACACCCATGTAGTCGGTCACTCTGGACCATGTCTACACTTATGGGTGTAGACACCTGGTAGGCGTTCCACGTCTTTGCTGTCTCCTGCTTGTACTATGTACGATATACTAACTGGTATGCAATCTGGTCTCGAGTTGGTCCTCAACGATGTGGAGCTCCCACTCTCCTAGCCTCATGGACGGCCGTAAACCGCGTGAGATGATATATCGCACCAGAGAGGCGAAAATTGCGCGACTTGGACTAGCAGCAGCTTCATCATCCAACTCAACTCGCACACATGGCCGGATCTGCGACGTTCCCCCCAACGTCTCGTTTCTGCAAGGGCCGAATATCACACCCAATAACTCGGAACCGACTATCCACCGTAGATGCCGCCGGAATAGGTCTGATGGTGCAAGATGCCCTGTGAATCGCGAGCATGATTCTGGCCCGTTGAAAGAACTCTCTTGATACGCCTGTGCGAATAAGGTGGTCTGTAGCAACGTGGGAAATACTCACTAAGTTAGGTTACTGTGAGTGGCGAGACTGACTCTGCTGAAAAATGCCCCAGTTCGTCTCACAGCCTGTTCTATAAAGATATTCTCCAGGGCTGAAAGAGAAAGAAAAAAAAGGGAGTCTTACTGGCACAGCCTTGCAGAACACTCCAACATGTCTTTCGGCAGGGAATCCAGTAGTTCGAGCATCGACCACGGCACTGCTACATATGTCGTAGGGCCAGAGAAGACTGTCACCGCGTTGGAAGTCACCGACGATGTACCAGACAGCCCTGACACCAGGCGAGATGTTTCCGGCGATATCCTCGACGATGGGCTCCGACGAGGTCTCAAGGGTAGACATTTCGTGATCATTGCCCTCGGCAGTATCATCGGACCAGGCACATTCTACGGCTTGGGCTACGCCATATACTTGTCTGGTCCGCTGGGTGCGCTACTTGGGTTCATCATTGTTGGTATGTCAAGACCCTCTCCCCAATACTTCAAACCGAGAAGCAGTGGCACAGTATGCTGATCTGACGCAGGAATCTCCGTGTGGATATTGATGCAAAGTGTTGGCGAGATGACGACCTTGTTTCCCATCCATGGAGGCTTCGTCGAGGTACCATTGTGCTCCAGCTCTCCCCCCAAAATCTAGAGAATTAACTCGTTTCCAGCATGCCGGTCGTTTCGTGGATCCAGCGCTGAGTTTCGCCATGTCGTGGCTGTACTATCTCATGTGGAGTGTCTTCCTCGCTGCAGGTATGTCTTTAGTCCCCAACATCAAGACATGTTCGTCTATTAACATTGTCAAGACTGGAACTCTGCCATATTGATCCTCCGCTACTGGGTGCCCGAGACGACTTTCCCTTCCTACGGCTGGGCCCTCATTTTCTGGGGAGTTTTCTCCGTCATCACCCTCCTGGGCGTCAACGTGTACGGCGAGCTGGAGTATTACTTCGGCATGTTCAAGTTCATCTCCCTCATCATCCTCTTCCTCCTCTCCATCGTCGCCAATGTCGGTGGATTTGGCGGTGGGTACATCGGATTCAGATACTGGACGAAGCCAACGGGTAAGGTCTACAAGCATCCTCTGTCGGTTATTCCGAACTAACACTTTTAAGGTCCAATTATCCATGGCATCGACGGATTCGGACAGGTCTTCGTCCTCGCGGCGGCTTACTACGTTGGCACCGAAATCATTTCTCTGGCTGGTGGAGAGTCTAGAAATCCCAAGAAAGACGTCCCAAGGGTATGAATATACACAAACAAACATTACTTCCGGGTATTCAAGTTGGCTAATGTTTGCGCAGGCCATCAACTCTGTGGTATACCGCATCTTGGTCGTCTACATTGGCATGCCCTTCTTCCAGGGACTTATATGTCCCTCCGACTCTCCGGACCTTTTGAACGCAGATTCCGTGGTTGCATCGTCACCCTTTACAATCGGCTTCACCAAAGCAGGGTGGAAGACTTCCGGCCACTTTGTCAATGCTCTGATTACCGTGGCGTTTGTCTCCGCCGCCAATGGAGTGGTGTACGTGCAGTCACGCACGGTCTATTCTCTTGCCTTGACTGGAAGGGCACCCAAGATCTTTGCAAAGACGACATCGCGTGGAGGTAAGAGAGGACATCCCCATTGAAAAGATAGACACTGACACTCTGACAGTACCCTGGGTGGCCATCCTGACCTCCAACCTCTGGGGCTTTCTATGCCTGATGAACAGGAAACTCACCGCCGGCCAAGTCTTCTCGTACATGACCAGCGTGGGCGGCACGGCGGCCTACATCGCCTGGGCGGCCATCATCTTCACGCACCTGCAGATCCGGGCCGCGGCCAAGAAACAAGGCATCGACGTGAAAACGTTCCCCTACAGGGCCTTTGGGAGCATCTGGATCTACCGGCTCAACTTTGCGTTCAACATCTTCCTCCTCTTCATCCAGGGGTACACGGTCTTCAAGCACCCCTTTAACTGGCGGTCGTTTATTGCGTGCTACATCACCATCCCGACGTTTTTCATCTTGTTCTTCGGCTTCAAGCTGTATTACAAAACACACTGGTATGTTGCTCTACCCATTGATACCTCTACTGATACCTATACGAGGAATGATTGATTTGACTGATCGTTCATAGGGTTCGTCTGCACGAGGTTGACTTCTCGGACCGTCGGGAATGGATTGCACCGGCGTCGAAAGCCTCGTATGATTCTAGGTCGTGGAAGAGGAAGCTGTGGGATCTGTTCAAGGATTAGTGTGTCAGTCGATCTCTAACGGAGGGTTCGTTGTCGATCTATGCTGGATTGACTATCAGCAATTCACCACAGATAGCTTCTGGATGAAGAGTTTTCCCAGTGAGCAGTAGATATAGTCTTTGGAGACGTCTGTATATAGAGAAGGAGGTCTGCTTGGTAGAGTGTAATACAGCATCTTACCTCTTTGTCATAGGGAGAAATTCCGTCTCTCAGATCATCATTTCTTTTGCTACTTGGTCACCCCTAGTTCGTTGATAGCGCGGCACTTACTCAATGGTAGATCTGTGTCCGCTAGTTCCGGATGCAGGTATACACCAAGGCGAAGAAGACGCCTTCACGATGCAAGCACACATCCAGGCCCACCTGCAGGGCCAGTCTCATCTTCAAAGTTCAGCTTCGGTGGGGAAGCGACCGTCTCCACGTTGAGAGCTTGTTACGCAGATGGAACCCCGGTCAGGCCATTGCCTCGAGTAGGCCAGCTTCACGAATAATGGAGAATCGCCGGTGCGTTGGGAATGGAAATAGCGGTGTGATGTTTGGTTGCCCAAAAGCCCGTACATCACAGGGAGATCCACCATGAACCCCACAACGCCCAGGTTGGTACCAATAAGGAGCCTCAGCCTTGTCGTTCTGGTAGAGCCTTACACCCGCAACATGTACATCTCCCGTGGACGAGGAGCTTGCCTCCAAGAATATTTCCACACAGGTGCTTCTTAATGTCCGTCAACAAGCAGCGTCTTCCCCTGATTGTGCTGGGATCATAATTCTGCAGGTCGTGGGAAACTTGAAATCGAGACACGACATCGCCAGGGTGGTCTGCAGGCTGATTGCAAGGCTAACTTCGAACTCAGCCACGTTCGCCGATGCCGTCCAATAAATGATAGCCACATCAGTGGCCAACCCCCCTTACCACGTCCAGAGTCTCGGCTCGACCAATGTCCTAGCGGCCATAGCTGCCGGTTGCTCTTACCCGCCGCGGGGACAATGTTCCTTCCGCTTGATGGCGTGGTTGCCTATTTCCTGTGTCAAGAACAAAAACGGGCAAAAGGACCTTTTGTCTTTATGAGAGAGCATACGGACATCAACTCTCTCCCCCTCCTTTCAACCTGATCGAAATCCCTGACCGTCTCTCAGGAGTCCTGTCTCCGACCATGTACGAAAAAGCAAAACTGGAAAATGGATGCAACATCAGACTCCTCGAACTCGAGCCAGGTACAGCCGACGATCCTGTCCGTTGCCGACTGCAGCCTGTTTCACTGGAATCCTGTCCATCGTATGAATGTATCTCGTACGTCTGGGAAGGACTTCCTGGAAATGCGACCATCTTCTGTGAAGGTCAGCTCGTTGAAATCAAGGCTAATCTGTATGCCGCATTGAAAGCCTTTCGGGACGTGGCCAAGACTCGAACTCTCTGGGCCGATGCTCTTTGCATAAATCAGAAAGACAAACCGGAAAAAAGCAGGCAGATCCCCTTGATGCAGCAGATCTATGGACGGGCCCGACAAGTTCTCCTCTGGCTTGGTCCATCTCAGAGTCTCACAGAGGAAGCATTTGACAAATTGAAACTCCTTGCCATGTTGTGGGAACAACGGGCTGGACGAATTGATAGACGACCGAGCCCAGAAGAATACAAACACTTGGTCATCCATCACAGATATCAACTGGACGATGCGTCCGTTTTTGACATTAACCAGACACCTAGTTGGGCTTCTGCAGATATTTGTACTCCCAAAGACATCATCAACCGCCGGGACTCGTTGCTGGGGAGATGGGGACAAAAGGGGTCCCAAGCATTCGAATTCGACAACGCTTCTATCTGGGAAGCCGTGGAACCTCTGTTTCTCAACGTTTTCTTCTCACGTGCCTGGATTGTGCAGGAGGTAGCACTTGCCAGCCTTGCACTGGTATGTTGTGGCGGTTTTTCACTCTCCTGGGAGATATTCCGTAGTGCATTTGACGGATGGGAGCTTCTCTTGTTTTATCTATCAAGACAACGTGATGTAATGGATAGGGTAGCCGCAGGCATTGGCGCGGTTGGAGATGCAAGGGAGAGCTTTCGTGTTTCTGAGATGGGCAAAGACCTTTCAACCGCAGTGGCCAGGTTCGCCTTCGCCAAAGCAACTGATCACCGAGATCACATCTACGTTGCACTAGGCATGATCACAACCCATCATGGCATTATACCAGACTACGACAAGGACGTCGAGGAGGTTTTCTTAGACGCGGCAAAGTGCATGATATCCCAACGACAAGATCTGTACCTCTGGGGTTGTAACTGCTCTTCCCAAAGAAAACGTTACAAATCACTACCCACTTGGGTTCCAGACTGGTCGGTTGAAAACGATCATTATGCTTTCCTGCATATGACCAGAGAGTCAGTAACAGACCTTCCAGGCCATTGTACGACAGTTGGACGTCGACTGAGAGTCAATGTATACTTGCTCGATACCGTCTGCTTTGTCACCAAGGTCAACCTCGATGGTACAGTGCTGGGAGGAGCAGCAGAAAATATACTTTCGATATTTAAGCGCTTGGGACTCGACCTCTTTGACGTCTATCGAACCGACTATTTTGGTGAAGGTCAAACACCTAATAGCTGGAGACACCTGAGTGAGCCACAGAGTGTATCAAGGCTGGGAGACGTCTTCTCTATTCTCACCAAGCTTAATCGAGTGCCCAGTTGTGTGTTGAAAACACTGTCTGAATTTCTTGTTTTAGGAGAGCGACCTGGAGATCAGCAAAGACTCAACATTGAGGCATTGTGGGATGCCTTATGCCATAGTTCCTTCCAGTTCAACAGGGGCAGAAATCCTGGGCTTCAACTTTTTCTGTCCTGGTGGTTTGCCGCTTCTGCAGCATGTGACGGCTCTGCGATAGATGGGATTATCAAGGCTCCTAAGGCGTACGACATCTGGGTGGTGGCGGCGATGCAATTAACCGCGTCCGAGGAGTCGTGTCGGAAGTCCTTTGAGAGCATTATTGCCGGGGTGATGTCCTCCATTCAGGGGGAGGAGGACTTGTTTGTCACCAAATCAGGATATATCGGTCGCTGCTCCCCCGGCGCTGCGAAACCTGGACATGATGTGGCCATTCTCGGGGGCGCATACCGACCGTACCTTCTCGAGAAGCAGACCAGCGGCCTGTTTCAATTTGTCTCGTATGCGTACGTAGAGGGTATGATGGGCGGGAACATTAGGCTGCCTCCACGCGCCAAGGTCAGTTTGATCGAGATTGAATGACGAACTTGAAGATTGGGCTGGGAAAGAATTTGAAGATACAACAATCAGGAGTTCCCTCAATAGAGTGTCCGTCGTTCTGTTCGCTCTGTGCTCGTAGTTGATTTCCACATGGGTGGACGCATGACGTTCGTTTTCCGCGGGGTTGGCAGCACAAACCGCCAGCAAGCCTTGCCTTCGGGTCTGTTCGCGATCGAGTTGCATTCCAAAATACGACGGCACAGTCTCGTGGCCCTGATACACCTCGTTCTAATCGTGCATTCGAACCAAAGCGGTGCTGTCTAGCGGACAGACCTCCGATCCAGAATTTAGTCTAGCCCATGGCTCTGCCATGCCTTTGAAACATGAATGCAAACATGACCCGCCGTCCACGCATAACCATATCCTAACCTTACAATACCAAAAGCGAAGAAATACCGACAACGACGACGACCACCCAACAAAAAGAGCGCCTCAGATCACCGGCAAGCACGATCCCTCCACTTGTAGACCCCGCCGTACCGCAGCAACTGTCCCGGTCATAGGTCACGCCGTTCGCGTCCGCGACGACCTGGAAGACGCTGCCGTTGAAATTGCCAATGTTGTAGTAATCGACCAGCAGGAAGTTGGGCGGGCGGTCCCACATGGTGGTGCAGTTGAGGACGGCGCGGCCGGCCGAGCCGAACCCGGCGTCGGCGTTGGTCTCGTTCAGCAACGTGAAGAAGGGCACGTCGATGCTGATCCCCGCGACGTTGACGTCCAGGTTCAGGTTGTGGTTCGCCATGTACATGCGGTTCTCGCGCACGTTGCGCGCCTGGTCCGGTGGCCGCTGCGGCGTGCACGGGAAATTGCGGTCCGTTGGCGAAAAGGGCGTCTCCCACATCTGCGAGAACTCGTCGAGCAGCCAGGGGATCGCGGTCTGGTTGGCCTCGTAGTCCAGCATGACCACCGCGCGCTGGTTCCGGAAGATCATCTCGGCGAGCGTCGGCCACGAGTCCAGCGGCATGGGCTGTGTCGGGGGCGTGTAGACGAAGTCGATCAACCCCGAGTTGACCACCGGCGCGGTGAAATTCTGCGGTGCGACGACGTCGTAGTTCCCCATGAGGATGGTGATGACGTCGTAGGGGTGCTTGCGCAGCCACTTGGTCACGGTGGTGAGGTAGTCCTGCAGCGTGCCGGCGTTGAGAAGCTCGCAGGACGTGTGGCAGAGGTACATTGTCCCGTCCTCGAGATGTGCTTGGAATTGTACTGTAATCGCAAACTCATCATTTAGCTTCATGCTGGCCAAGAACGGAGAGACAATGGAATGGACAAAACGTACACATGCGAATCCCGTCGTTGAGCTGAGTCTCAACATCCAGCATTTGATTCGAGGCAAGATTCCCCGGACGGATAAAGGGGCTGTTATGGGCCGCCACGTAGGTGATGTTGCTGAACTTGCGGTTGCAGAATGACGGGTGTCCATTGCACGGGACGGTGTTTGTGGGCGGTACGGTAGACGATGTGCTCGAGGCTGTTTGGTTCGTGGTCGCCGTGCCGTTCAAGGTACTTGTTGTCCTCGAACTGCCTACCAACACAGTTTCGGTGGCGGAGGATGATGTCGAAGTCGTCGTCGCATTGCCGGACTCTGTACCGGATGAGGTTGTGGTACCGTTTGACGTTGCGAAAAGACTCGACAGGTCTGTCACAGTGGCATAGTCGGTGGTTGCTGTGATGGTCAACGTGCTGGACTCGTCGGCGTAGGTGGTCCCGCTGGTGGCATAATCGGCGCCAGTTGCGGTGGGTGTGTCTGTCGTCTCGGTCGTTCCGCTCTCACTGTCGGACTGAGAAACCGCTTGAAGCACGAGGCCGGCAAGGGCAAGGGATGTTATCAGCCGCATGTCTGATACCGCTTAAGCTGAGCCCGGTGATGGACACAGCATCTAAGAGGCAGAAGCGTTGTAGAACATTTTTCGAGAAACAATGGACTTGGCAATAGGCGGAGACGGCATGTCGTCTGAACAGACAGCGATGGATAAAAACTTCACGTGATTGCCAGGAACCACACACTAAATACCTGGGTGCATGAGTGCCATCATCCAATACCTTTCGATGACGCGCGTTGCTCGGGTGCTTGGTTCGGAGAAATACTCGTAAGCCACTGAAAACCCCATTGCCCGATGGTGTTGGCACCCAACAGGACGGCCAGGTTAGTTACCCAGCAACATCCCTTGGATAGCTACAGTGCCAGTTCTCGACTCCCATTGAGCACTGTTTTGATTTGATTCACTCGGCCCAAAAAGACGTGGTGGCTGTTTATTGGCGGCGCCCTCATTTCGTCGCGGTGGCCTTTTGACATAATTTTGCGATGCGGAAACAAGGTTGTCGCCCGGTTGCCGATTCCAGCCTTATGCCCCACTTGACCTTACTGGTATGGGAAGTGATACGTCAAGCTAGTGGGTCTTAGTGCAAGACAAGGCTGGGATCATCATTGATGTTCGTGATGTCATTCATAGTTCCTGGCCACCAGAACGTCCCATTGGGAAATCCACCTTTTGAGCTCTCTGCGTCCAAGCCACGGTCAATTATTACGAGTGCATCTTGCTCTCACACTCGATCCCTGCCACAGATCCTTGAAACCTACGCGGCTGAGAATCTTGGCACACATCTTTCCAGATGTCGTAGCCCAACACACAAGTTCCCTACTCCTCTGTATCAATTAATCCGTCCCATGTCGATCAGTACCTTTCGATGAGGAGGCCCGTCTGAATTGGCTTCCCAGACATCTCAGTACCAGCATGGCCTTCTTCAGACGCGCCAAATCTGAGAAGCCCGTCAACCGAGACCGCCCATCCGACGAGGTCCCATATGGCTACGCAAAGTCGAAACCGACAGCCCTCCGCACATTTGCGGCGATAATCTATCTTCTTTCCACAATCTTCCTCATCTTGGTGGAGATAGGAAACATCAACGACAAGGCCGTCATCCGTTCTACCTATTTCCTCAAAATCGACCTGGCAAACATCATCCCGGCCTCGGTCCCCAACGCCATCTTCATCAACAGCATAGCCCAATCCATCGGGCTGCACGACTTCTACCAAGTCGGCTTGTGGAATTTCTGTGAAGGTTACAATGGCGAAGGAATCACGTACTGCTCCCCGACCAAGACGCTGTACTGGTTTAACCCCGTGCAAATCATCCTGGACGAACTCCTAGCGGGGGCGTCCATCACGCTGCCCAGCGAGGTCATCGACGTGCTCGACCTCGTCCGCCTCGCGTCCTTCTGGATGTTCTCGTGCTTCCTGGTCGGGACGTGCCTGACGTTTCTCTGCATCTTCGTCTCTCCGCTAGGCTTCTCCCAGCGGCCCCGGTGGCAACATAAAGCGAAACGGATATTCCTGCGGCAGCTGCCCATCTCGATCCTGACCCTGGCGGCGTTGCTCTTCACCGCGGTGGCCTCGCTGATCGCCACCATCATGTTCCTCATTTTCCAAGACAAGTTCTCGGGCGCCGCCGACTTGAACATCCACGCGCGCCTGGGCAAGCCGATGCTCGCGTTCATGTGGATCGCCACGGGTCTCAATCTGAGTGGGTTCCTCATGCAGCTGGGCACCTGTTGCGGCGTCTGCTGTTGTACCGGGAGGCGGAGGGCGGTCAGGCACAGTCAATTGACCGAGGCTGGGCGAGGGGGAGTAGTCGACAACACCGAGGGACAGAGGGAGAAGGCGGTGCGGGACGTCGATAGCAGTGCCAGGACAGATGGGTCTTCTGCCGGGGCATTCCCTGCGTTCAGGAGGAGCAGGCGAGGCTGAGTGTGCTGTGGTCGTCCTTATGTTCGGGATGAGCAGTACTTAATGAGGAGCATGCCGAAACTCATTGAGCGCATCTGAACGGTTCTGCGGCGTCCAAGCCAAGGGACACTCCGAGAAAATCCTTAGCTATCGATACACATACATTTTGCACCAGATGTCGGCCCATAATCGGCGCCATCACCAAATTCTCTTCTTGTCCCTCGGCACAGAGCACGCAAGTGTCTTTCCGTGTCGTCCCAATACAGACAAACGCGCGAGCAGCTCCACCGGGTGGCAGAAAGAGAGGATCCAGGCTGGCTGGCCGAAGAATCCCCGTCTGCCTTCCTGCTGTCCTGCTTGCCTACCTGTCTACCTGTCGACTCAATTGTACCCGAACAACCACGTTCCAATCTCCCATGCGAGGGAGCCGTTATCTCCCCGCGGCTGAAAGAAAGATCAGATCAAGTTGCTGCCTCGTTAGGACCCGGCCAGGATAAATTCTAGAGGGCAGAACGCTCGAAAAAGTAAATACATGCCTGTCCATACCATCGAGGCTCACCGCAAGGACAGATATATACTATGTTACTTGTACGTTCCCTGCTTCCCTTGTCTTATTTTCTTCAAAGCCCGCCAGCTCGAGTTGGTCCGTGGAGAAACGGATGCTGAAGAGAAATGTCATGGTTTTTCTGATGATATATTCTACATGGGCAATAGTCTATTGCCGTTTCATTGATCATAAAGGGGCCGGATCCCTCGTTTCCAAAATCAGGGCAGGATCTCAGGTCTCAGAGTGGTGATAGCTAGGACCCCCATTGCCCGATCCTACCGTGTAATTAGAGAATACTCTCCGCTAAAGCGCATCGCAAACATCGGTCCTCGCTTGTTAATAGGCAACCCACTCCTGCGTCCAGACAAGACCGCCGCTCCCGCTCTCTTCCCATCGATCCTCGCCGGTCCACAATCCCGTTCCTCGCAATCTGCCCTCTCTCCCTTCTCGATCGGCGTGGCAATAGCGTAACAGTACCTTCCTCTCATCCAGGAAGAACGTGATATCAACCCACTTCGGCTCCAATTCCTCCGCCACAGCGCCGCACTGGACCACCGCGTGTTCTTCGATGCTCGCCAGCTTTTCGGCGATGGTGTAGACGCCCAAAGTGTCCCATACGCGGGACTGGATCTCCGATTTGTTGAGAAGGGATGTCACTTGATACCGGACTTTGGTAGACCGACAGTCCGTTGTTCCTATGTAGATTGGGGGTCCGATTCCACTGTCGACACTCATCGAGTGCTCATCATACGCGAAGAAGGATGAACGGTTCAAAATGCTCTCGCTCAGGACCAACAAGCGTGCAAAGTGGGCGTTCAAGGCTTCCTTGCGCTCGGCGTAGTTCCGACAGGACTTGTGGCAGTCACAGGTTTCTGGCGGGTCACACAACGGCACGATCACTTCACCGGTATCAGCGGAGTGAAAGGCCATCTGTGTAAGTAACAGGAGATATGCGGCCTCGCGATACGCCTTGAGAAGCTGAGACATGTGTCGATCCTGCGGGCTGTTCCGGCATTTTCCGCTCTTGCTGTATTCTGCATATGCCATACTCCATTGCAACAAACGGGAGATGTGTGTTTGGTGACGCTGGAAACCCGTGCCTGTCAGCAAGCCCTGTTCGAGAAGACCCCATGTGTGCCAGATCCAATTTGCTTCTGTGAAGAGAATGTCACGGGCCTGCGAGAGTGAGTCGAATATGCGAGGGATGGAAAGAGGATTTGGGTCAGGGTAGGAGGTGGTTTCGCTCCCCGTCGGGGAAAATGGACTGAGATATGGACCAGGCATTGACTCTGCCGGTTCGCTGAGGATCTTGGCCGCGCCTCCAAATAGTCGGACAGACTCAAGCTCCAGTCTAAGGAAGAGGCGCCTCAGACTGTCATGGTTTACCTCAACGGCACGATACTGCGTATTCTTGTAGGTTGTGCGCATCTTTCCACTCAGGACGCCCTTGAGACCATTCGTCATGTGCACTTGTGCCGCATCGTAATTGCCCTGGAATGTTTCAAAAATGCTGAAGAGTTTCATGACAATCATGTTGATCTCGGCGGCATTGGGATGTGAAGCCATGTCATCCGACAACTTTCGGAGTGCCTTCTGGTATAGTTTATCCGCAATGTCGCAATACTCAAATGCCTCACGCGAAATTCCCAGTTCGAATCTTCGGTGGACAGCCCCGACTGCTGCTGCTGCTGCCAGTACTGTGGGATGTTGCACACATGCTCGCACAATGTATGTTCGCCAGACTGAGCTGTCGAAATATGCAGCGAACTCGGGGCCCGTCCGAGACCGGAAGAAGTCGAAACAGAAGAAGTCATTGTCCGACTCAAACATGACATTGGATGGCGGCCGCCAGAGTTTGTCTAGAGCGGATTGGGTCTTCGAGTTGTTCAATGCCGGGATAGCAACTTTGCCAGTGCCCGTCTTCTGTCGCTTTGCGTCGGCTTCGGTATACAGCGGTGATGACTCTTCTGACGTTGAAGGTTGGTCGGCAGTCTGACTGACATAGCCGTCGCATTTTCGACCAGTACTTGTGCAGCGGCGACAAAACGGTTTCTCCTCGTCACACTTCTTGCGCCGGACCTTGCACGTTATACATCCAGTCCTAACCTTGTGATGTGTTTTGCGAGTTCTTTTTGGCTTCTCCATCAGCGGGAGGTCCGCCATGATGGCTGTGCTTGTCATCGTGCGGAGGGATACAGCTTTTGAACAACAAACTCGCGAATAGAGAAACAGGGCAGTGTCATTCCATCAAAATGCGGGGCATGGCGATATATGTACCTGTGCTTGTAGAAGCCCCAGAGGCTGTTCCTTACCGAATACGTGCGATGCATGACTCCTTAGCATTCCGGAAGTGCCATCCCAGGCAGAAACCCTTGCCTCTTGAAGCGTTCCTGACTAACGTAGAATCCTGATGCGTGATTGGCTCGAGCGTACTTTTTCGCGCAAGATGTACCAGCTGCTGACATGAAGTTCCAGGCAGCAAGGCCATCAATGGCGGAATGGATCCACGAGATTGGCTCTCTGGATGCCGCGGATATAATGGTCCGATGGTAGCCGCGAAGAAGTCTGGCTGCTTTGGCACAGCTACAGTCTGGCCTGAAAGCAGCCTGAAGGGCTCGGATTCGCGATTCGCCAATTCCAGAGCAACAGGACCACAGTGCCTAACGAGCAATGAAGATCCAGTTGTTCAATGAACCATAATAACGTGAAGGCATGTCATTATTCCTCCTCCTTTTTCGCTTTTGCCTCGGAGTGCGCAAGAGCTCCGAAACTGTCGTCGTCCGATTCTGTGTGCATTGATCAGGTGAGCACCGAGGTCTAGGAAAATGGCTGGTAGATACCTCTTGGTATGAAGGCTAGGGACACGATTGAATCCGGACCCGTTCGAGCATGGATTCTGTGAAGATTCAGTGGAATGACCAGGCGAAGGATGTGTGAACAGCAGGTGACTGGACATGTGCTCGTTCTCGTTTGCAGCTGGCGCGGTCAACACCCGCAGCGGCCCCCAAACATGTTGCTTGCACCCCGCATAATAAGACACACCGACGATCACAATTGACCTTCACACTATCCTATTCCCACGACAAGAATACTCCAGGAATCTCTCAGTCCATCTCCTCATTGCATCATCACCCTCGGTCCTCAAGTACTCACTAGCCATGACGCCCTCGAACAATATCGCCTACACCGCACCCATCAACCCTCCATCCACCTCACCGAAACTCACTATCTCGCAGATCTGGCAAGGTCTCGAACTGAAGATCCGCGCGGGCCAGGACTTTGTCGGTGGCGCCCTCCTCTCCACGGACGTCATTTCCGAGTCGAAAGATGAGCAAGGCCGACCCGTCACGGTGCGCGAGGTTGTGTTTCGAGACGGGAACAGGAGGGTGAAGGAGACGTGTGTCGCGTACGAGGCAATGAAGGTCGAATTCCACCAACCCGACGGCTCCAAGGTCCAAAACATCATCTCGCAAGGAGCAGGGCCAGAGGGCGAGGATCTCTATATGACCTACACGTTTGAGTGGCTGCATCCCGAGTGTGAGGGCGACGTCAAAGCATTGGCAGAAAAGAGGCAGAAAGAGACCAAAGTGGCCAAGATGGCAGTCGAGGAAACCATACGGGTGATGAGAGAGATGGTCAAGGACGGCAGGATTAAATAGTCAAGAGGCATGAGCGGTCAAGTAACACTTGACCACAAAAAGTATCATTGAGGACGGCACGGCTAGCAACACGCAGAAAACGCACAGGACGCCCGTCAGTGTCCGCTCTTGAGTGCACACTTGGTCATTTGCCAATGGGGTATTTCAGAACAGGCATACGAATGAACGGCCAGCATCAGAAACGCACTATGGACAATCCTCAACGGATCTTTAGACTGCTCAAGGGTGGTTCAACGCCAAAATAGAGCCGCTTCAGAGTTATCCCAAACCAAGATAACACCCAAACTTACACAAATTCCCACTCAATAACTCTGTCCCTGTTTCTTTCGCTTTCCAATAGTGCCCGAATTTGCGGATCGCCCATGCCAAATTGCTGTCTCAGAATCCTCCAAAGTGCGTCTCGTTCCCAGGCTATTTCTTCTTGTAAACTCGGGTCGTCGCGTGAGTTCTGTGCTTGTCTTAGACGTTCTGCCTCGACAGCTCGAGTAGGGCCGATGTACGGTGGTCCTCTCCTGTGGCTGTCCTCGTCGCTCTGCGTGATGATATTTGAGGACCCTGCCGCAGGACCGTGAGGCGTCCAAGGTGGAAGAGGTGCCCATGAGGTGCGTGGTGAGAAAGATGGGTGTTGTGTGTGCTCACCTGAAGCCGCCCTTGAAGATCGACGACCATTAACTCCGCAGGTTGAAGCTCTTGCCTGCAATAGAGCTAGCTCCGGCGGCACATTCTGTGGTCCAGCTCTCAGAGGGGCATAGGGATCTTGCAGGTTCAGGCCGCTTCCAGGCGAATGCAGTAGCCCCTGGGACTCTGGAGCTAGGACCTGTTCCAGGGGGTTGCGCGACCGTCGACCTGATGCACGGGCCGTCTGCCGCAAAGTATCGCCGGTAAGACTGTTGGGTGCAGGCATCTGCTGTAGTGACTGTCCTTGTGAATCGACTTGTTGCCGACTTGGGCCCGCAGACTCTGGCTGTGCTTGAGAATTGGCGAATTGCTCGGCTATCACGTCTCCGCCTTGACTACCGCGGTTCCGTCCTCCACGATTCCGTCTGTTCTTCGATTTCGGCTCTTGTTCGGAGTTGGTCGTCTTTTGAGGTGTGGACATCTTCATCTCGATGTCTTTTCTGGCGTCACGCAGCGCTTCTCTCTGCTGTTCTTCCATCCGTAACCTGTTTCGCCGTGCCTCTTCCATTAGACGCAGTCGGCGGACCCCATTGGAGTCGGGATCAACCAAGATGTCTTTGGGTGGTGAGTCAAAGTCATCTAATACAGTAACAGCTTGTGCCTGCTGTGTTGGTTTTGCTTCGATGAATTCCTCAGAGAAACTCTCCATGGTGGAACAGGTGTTGGATGTATCAGAAGAATATGTTGAAGGGGTTTTAGCTAGTCCACCTCTGATTCTGGGATGTGGGAGGACCGTCGTTGTGTGATATCCCAGCCAATGTGGGAGGGTCGACATCTCCAAGGTTGACGTCGCGAGTTACAATCTTGGTGCCGTCATCAGAGTGTTCCAGTACCAGCACTCGTTATATCAATGACTCGGCTCTGTTTATCGCAATCAGAAAAAGTCATTTGTCGTTTCCATGGCCAAGCAAACACTCATGCTCAAGAGCACCATGTCAATGACTCCAACAAAGCGTGTAGGCGGTAGAAAAGCGATCATGAGAATAGCGGACCACGAAGGAAGGTGGCAGGACAGTGGATGTTTCCGACAGAGCTGTTTGCTTGACTGCGAAAGGGCTCAAACATCAGTGTCTCAAACCGCGTAAAGGGTATGGTGACAACAGAGATGACATCCAGATCCGCGAATTTGGTGCGCTGCTATTGCCTCATTCCCAGGCCTCGCCCCAGTCATCATCATTGATGTCAGGCTCTTTAGGCTTGGGTGCCTCTTTCTTGATCTCTTTCTTTGCAGCTACAGGGGGTGTCGTCCTTGTACTCGAAATGGCCGGTCTCTTCGCATTCGCCCCAGTTGTCCCAACACCCGCAGAAACACTTCTCGCTGGGCCCGCAGGACGGACATTGAGCGTTGAAGCTGCGGAAGTACCTTTGGATAAGCCCTTTGGAAGTGGTTTCTGCGATTTAGATTTTGACTGCGCAGCCAGCCAGCCAGCAAAATCCGGTTCGCCACCATCATCAAAGGCAGCTGCAGGTTCAGGGGTGGTCGTGTTTGTACGTTGCGAGGGTGATGCATCAAAGAAGTTATCTCCCTCATCATCTATGGTACCCCAGGCATCCATCGTGTCCCCTTCCTCCCAACCTGCTTCGGGCTCAATCGCGTGTGCGGAGCTTTTCACTGGTTGCGAGGCTTGCGATCTTGATGGGCCAGTTGTCGGTTTGTCCGATGTAACGTTGATGGTGGGTGTGTTGCGTCCAGAAGCAGGCATTGATTGCGTTTGTGCCAAAGGTGCTCCGTTCGCCGTCGCCGTGGAAGCCATCTCGCCTCTAGCCCCCGCCATTTTGTTTGTGAAAGAGGAAATTGCCCAACCGGCCCAACTGGTGTCATTTTGATTTCCGATCCTCGCTGGAACAGCGGCATTGGCTGCTCCTGGGACAGGCTCTGGTGGAAGCGCCGTTTCAGGTAAAGATGATGCATATTTGCGAACTCTCGCCAAATAAGAATCGACTGCTTTGGTGGCTTGGTCACGAACTATCTTTTCTTTGTCGACCAGACTGACGCAAAGGACAGGCAAGATTTTCGTGGCGCAATCATCGTCACTGAAGACATCAATTGTGGCGTTGAGGGCCATCAATGCTGCACTTCGGGCATGTACAAAAGGATCTCTTAGAGAACGGCCGAACGCAGCAATCAGTACCTTAGACCGTGACCCAACTCCTAGATTTCTTGCAATCTTCCCGAGGCATATCGTGGTGTTAGTCCTGATTCCTGGCTGATCGTCATTGGCTGTTTTGGCGAGGAACCGAAGGAGCTCTCCATTGATGATCCTGTCCGATAGCTTGGATATCACTGAGAGGACGGCCTTGACTGTCTGTTCCCTGACGACTGGTGCTGTGTCGGTGAAGCCAGTCGTCATGGCAGGCCAGATTTTGCCATTCACATCTTTTTGAGGTATTCGATCAATCATTAGTGGTAGGTTATCCAACAAACATACTCTCATGGCCCGGTCTGCACTATTGAAGAGACGGATAATGAGTGGCCCAAGGCGTGATTCGAATTCGTCGTCGGACATTTTCAACCCGATTTTCATGATTGCTCCAAAGACACTGGGTCCTCCGCCACCGAATTCAACAGACTTCAACAGCTCGGGCAGGATTTTCATCTTGAAGAAATCTTCCGGGAAGTCATCCGTGAGGCTGTCGAGTTCCCTGTAATAGAGTAAGCAACGTGTCTGCTCGATATCAGAAGGTTAGCTTACTTCAGGAACTCGTTCCGTTCCTCCTCGTTCTTCAACCCAAGACTCTCAGCTCCTTCGGTGATGTGAATAAGCGGAGTCTCAAAGAATCCTCCGACCTTCTTTCCCTGCTCGACAAACTGCCCAGCATTCAGCCTCAGCTTCGGATTTGCATTTATGAGCCGCCGATAGCTCGGGACCATATTGGCCGATATACTCTTTGGCTGTGCTAGGCTGTCGCTGCTCACGAAACTCCCGTTGAATGCTTCGTACACAAGAGTCCCAAGACCGTAGGCGTCCGGAGCCCCCAGGGGATTCTTCTTGATAGCGGACCAGCCGCCATTGACCACTTCGGGCGGGGCATAAGTATTCGAGTTTGGCAAGGAACTTCCATAGTTGTAAATAATCGCATCGTCGTCATTCATAGAACTCAGCACTTCAAACCCTCCCAGCTTCCATTCGCCGCTCTCACTCGTGAACACTGAGGTAATGCGTACTGCACCGTGCACAGAAGAGGCGTCGTTGTTGATGAACTTCAGTGTAGAAGAAACACTGTACAATCCCCATTTTATAGTCTCTTCACTCAGGCTCTTGCGCCTGATATGCCAGGCCAACGGAGTGACTTTCTCCGTGATGATGTAGATGTTTGTCTCGTTTTCGATCACATCGATCACCCGTATCACTCCGGGGTGTCGTATCGTCCGCAGTTTTCGGGCGGCATTTTTGGCTAGGGGCAGCAGAGCCTTGTTGGCATGAATATCGAAGTTGAACAGGCAGCACGGCGAGTTGTCGTCCTAGACCATCATTCATCAGAACGGTTATATCACAAAGCTTAGTTGAAATCCCCCGACTGACCTTCTTGATCGCATTGTGTAGGATCCAAATAGAGTCTCCGAAATCAATACGGTCTCCAATGGTGACTGGAAAGGAGCTGGATTTGGCGATGGCAGAAGCGACGGCGGATTTGAGAAAGTCCATCGACCTTGATGCGACCGGGAAGCGGAGCAGTCAAAGGCCAAGGGACTGTCTGCGAAGAGTCAATTGACTGAAATCGCCGGAGACGATGGGGGGTGTTGACGACTTTCACGAACTGGAAAGTTGTCCACAGAGACTGCGGGCCATTTCGCGCCGTTAATATTATTATTGGGGAGAACGCGCCGCAGGATAAATGTCCCCGCGCTCGTTCTCCATCATCCCACTTGCCGGGCCAGCAGGGCAGAGGACAGGTCTAAGAGTTGAACAGTTCCAAAATATACAAGTTCACCTACTACCTACCTCAAGTTTCGTCCCAATGGCAGACAATTCGATCTCGCGCCGCAGGACTTTCTCTTCTACCAACATGCCAAAGAGCACAGACTACCGGCCGCATGAGGGCAAGTTTGGTATCATAACTGGCGGCTCAAGAGGTGTGTACATGGCATTCTTCGGAAGATGAGGCTCAACTCTGCAGCTTGTCTAACTGATGACAGGTATCGGAGCTGCCGTAGCTCAGAATCTCGCTGCCAAAGGGTGCTCTCTCCTTCTCGTCTACACGTCCGACTCTTCCACCGAGCCAACGCAAGCACTTTGCAAAGAACTCTCTGAAGCATACGATGTCCTTTGCTTCCCAGTGCAAGCCGACCTTGCAGAACCAACTCGCAGCATCCCGCATATCCTAGCCACAGCAAAGAATCACTTTTCACACCCTAGGACGGGCACGTTCCAGGTGGACATTATTATAAACAACGCGGGCATCGCCGGGAACAAACTGTTGAATGATCCAGACATGGGCGCCATTGAAGAGACACAGTTCCGACAGCAATACAATGTGAATGTCCTTGCGCCATTGTTGCTGGTTCAAGCATGTCAACCGTACTTCCCCAAAGACCGATCCGGGCGCATTGTCAACGTATCGAGCGTGTCTGCGTCAATCGGGTGTGAGTCACAGTCAATATATGCCGGGACAAAGGCGGCGCTGGAAGCCATGACCCGGGTTTGGGCCAGAGAGTTGGCGGAAAACTGCACGGTCAATGCCATCAACCCAGGCCCCGTTTGGGGGGACATGTACAGTCTTGCGGGCGAGAAGTTTTGGAAAACAAACCAGAAATATGTAGACAGTGCACCACTGATGGACTACAAAGGAGGTGACGACGCGATCAGAGCACGGGCGGGAGGCGATCCCGAGGAATATGACCGCATGGTATTGCAGGGTATGGGTGGTAAGAGGCCAGCTTTCACTGACGAAATTGCGGGCGTCGTCGGTATGCTCTGCTCCGAAGAGAGCGGATGGACGACAGGCAGTGTGATTTGTGCCAACGGCGGCATGAAAATGTCAATAGCATAAGGGGAAAGAATGAGGACTAGAGATAACAATTGTGTTGACTTTTAAGGGAGGGAGGGTTTGGAGTTACATAGAAGAAACCAAAGCCCAAGGCTGAGAATGACAGGAAAAGTGTGTCATTTGAAATAAGCCGCAGTCTCCATCCTCCACAACCTTGACACACGACAAGTTTCCCTGCGTTTAACCATACCGGTATACAGCCTTTCTTCTGGCATATTGCTCCCCTCTGGTACCTGTCGTCTTTATCAGCCCAGTCCAAGCCCGCCAAGATGGTCGACATTGTACCGGTCTCGTCGTATCCATCCCACATCTCCCTTCTCCCATCGATCCAACAGTGCAACCTAACGAACCTGCCTGAAAACTACTTCCTCAAATACTACCTCTACCACGCGCTCACCTGGCCACAGCTCTCCTTTGTCGCCGTCGTGCGCGGCTCCGGGTCGAAACCGCCGCGCTACCCGAAAGTCGTGGGCTATGTACTTGCGAAGATGGAGGAGGATCCCCCGGACGGGGTCCAGCACGGGCACATCACTAGTCTGTCGGTGATGCGGACACACCGACGGCTGGGCATCGCGGAGAAGTTGATGAGGATGAGCCAGCGGGCCATGGCCGAGGTGTTCAACGCCAACTACGTCAGCCTGCACGTACGCATGTCCAACACCGCGGCCCTGCACCTGTACCGCGACACTCTTGGGTTCGAGGTGGAAAAGGTCGAGAGCAAGTACTACGCCGACGGAGAGGACGCCTTCGCCATGCGCATGGATCTCAAGAGTATGCAGATCAAGAGTCTGCCGGAGGAGGACGAGGATGAGGGTGACGGAGTAGGTTCGCTGGGCAAGAAGGGCGAGGAGGGCGAGACGGTCAATGGCGAGAACGGGAAGAAGGAGAAGATGGTCAAGGTGAAAGTCGGGCGCGGGCTGGGCGTGGGAGATCTGGTGGAAAGAAACGAAGGCTCGACGAACGCCCAGTATTGATCGAGACCACTACTCCGACTAAATCGTCCATGTTCGCCCTCAATCTGGGATTCGACGTGCAGCGACATCTGCTCTCTCTCTCAGATTGCGGGGTCTGGTCATTCAATTGTCCGTCCGCTGCTATGGTCCTACCAATGAGACGAGTGACGATCATCCGGCGCAGACAGCGTATCCTATCGAACGAACCGAAAAGTCTTTTGAGAAGCGGTTTAAGCTTCTAGGTGGAAACGCTCAGAGATAAACCTAGAGGAATCTGAGCAATGTTTCGAGCATGTCTATTGTTCATGAATCATGAGGATCAGGGATCTTCGCCCTAAACTATTTACAGGACCATCGATGGCAGGGACGTGAAAACGTTCGACCTTGGCCACACTGGGTCATTTCTGTGGTAATGTACAGATTGAAGGGATGTTGACACATCAAGCCCTCCTCTCCCATCAACAACCCCAGCGTTGCGTCGACCTTTGTCAACGGCCTGTTAGAGCAGCCTGATAGTTGTTCAGGCCTTTCCTAGCCTTGCGGTCGTCCAGACGCTGCTCGTAGTCCGCTCTTGTGACTGTAGCAGATGCCTCGAGTTCGCCTCCTATCTCACTCTCGCCGTCCATATCATCCGTTGATTCGACGTCTTTCCCATCGTCACTACTTTCGGTGTCTTTGGAATTTCTCCGCATCTCGTTTTGCTCTCTCAGAAGCCTCTCCTGCTCGCTCATGGCCTGAAGAGTCCGCAGCGTTTGGGTCAATCCACTAATCAACAATTCGGCCTGGGATGCACCGCTCTGGTGCCTGCGATGTCGGCCGCCACGGGAGACATGCCGCCGGGAGTCACAGCTGGCACACGCACATCTATTGCTGCTGCCATGACTGCTTTTGCTGCTGGCGTAGCTGTCGGAGGCTGAACTATATTCCGACCCAGTATCCATGGGTCGAACTTGGGGTCGCGCAGTGGTTGGCGGTACAGTGGGAGGGATGTCAGAGCGCTTGCTGCGACATATGCGCATTTTCTGAAGTTTGGATTCTTGCTTGCGTTACTAGTTCTCAATGTCTCTTTCGTTGTATGTTCTCCTGTCGGTTGTGCTGGATTGTGTACGGGGTTTGGTTTATTTGAGAAAGAGTGACAGGAACGAGTGGCTTCGGTTGAGGAAGTGTTAGGAATTTACAAATCTCTGTTTGTCACTGCTCTCCCATACGTTGTAGTCAAACCGGGGACGAAGGGTGCGATATATACATACCCTCTTCCTAAGCAGGAGTAGGGTACTTTAAGCCTCGCTTTCGGCGAATGACCGTGCGAGGACAAGTGACATACTGCAAAGGAGAAGAATTGTTCCGGCGCGGATGCAATCTGAGGCCAGAGTCTCCGACGATGCGTACCGACAGAAACTTGCCTCGCCTCTCCAGTTTTATCTCCGCCAGTCCACTACATCGTACTTAGCGAAAGACTGCATGTCGATCGCTGCTCAAGGTGAGATCACGGAAAGACCCGCCTGCGGATAGCAACGAGTGGCACTCGTCTATCGGCGTTGCAGCACAACCGCCCATACCCGCGGGCGTCCGACGGAGTACTGCAACAAACCCGTTGTCGAACTATGGAGGATATTTTTCTCAATCACCTGTAATCATCTTCCAATAATTGTCTTGTATTCTATTTTCATTGTCAAGGCGAGAAACAACAGGCGGATGGGTGTGACGGGCAAGACGGGACAGCTCTAGTTTTCGTGGCCGGGACAATACCTCGTACTCGTGCTCGTACGGCCGAGAGATTTTTGTAGTTGAGCGGCTTTCTGCTTATTCGGCCGTGTGTAATTGTCGGATCGGAGCCGTGTGCATTAGGCGAGCCGTTAAGAGATGTCATCACATCAGCTTTGTTTGGAACCGCTCGGGAGGGTTAACTTTGCGTGCCTCCTTCGATCTGAACACAATACAGGAGCACCCTTCACCTGTCACTGCGCATTCTTGCATTGTTCCTCTCAATGTGCTCAGCGCCGCCATTCACCGGGCTTTGGCTTTCGCAAGCGACCGGCAGCATGGAAAGGTTCTGGCGACGGCGGCTGCACCGAAGCGTCATGGCGAGACTGATGAGATGACTCATCTTGTTGCTGAGGTCATTCAATTGCAAGGCGATCGGCGTTGTGTTTGGAAGAAGATGGTGGACGAGAGAAGTCGGAAGGGGGAGATCATGTGCAAGGAACAATGATATTCCGATACCATATTCCAGAATCCGAGTCACCAACAAAGAACAGCCTCTTCTTTACATCGACTCTTCTCGTCCTTTTCCCCTTCTTTTTCTTGGAACAGGGTTTTTTGAACTAATATCCATTGGGAATATCCCATCTCACAAGCAAGCAGGCTAAAATGGAGGAATGTACCGAGAACGTGCCTGCGGAGGTAGTTTGCATCCGATGCGCGAACAATCGACCAATATACAACGTCGACTTCTAGTGCTGTGCCAGCAGCTATGCTAACTTTTCGAGCTTGCGACCCATTGGAGCGTGGAGAACATCCACCCCTTCGGTTTCAAGGTGATATATCAATTAGGAGCAAAGGAGATGCCATATCAGTGGAACACTTGATGAGCCCTTAACTGCTGAGGTGAAGTCAGTTGCGCTGGGAACAAGAAGCGGCCATCTCACCACGCCATCTCCGAGAAGAGGCAGCAAATCTTTCCAGCACCTGCCATAGCAGAATCCTCCTCAAGCCCCGCATCGAGAATTTACGATGCGACACGAACTCGAGAACGCTACAAAGATGACTGCGGGCCAACATCGTACCCCACTCTGCCCTGATATGTGCGCGTCTCTGGGTTTACTGCTTGGTCAAAAAGGAAGAACGGACAAGACGAGGAAATAGACATGTAAGATGCCGAGCGGTCGCTGCTCAAGCCCCCACTCTCGTGCTGGAGTTATGCTATGTCTATCGTAAAGGGGTCATCCCTCGGGGTCCATAACCAAGGGTACATATGAGGTACACAGTAGATAAGAAAACTGAGTAGCTTGAGCCTTACAGAGGAGTTACCATACAGTATGAATAGCACGATACAGCAGGTCTTGTTGAAGTTCGACAAGGCGGCTATTTATATCGCGCAAGGGCCTATGCACAGTACCTACCCACCTATGCAAAAGAATTCCATCTCATCTTCCCGTATGTCCTCATCACAATGGTATGTGCGCAGACAACCCCGAAATTGAACGCCCAGAAACCGTATTGCTAATTAGCGTGGGATGAGCAACTCTTGACTGGTCCTTGCGCATCCCCATGTCGCTTTTTGAGGGGTTAGCGCCGTACAGCCTCGCCGCAGCTCCGTGACAATGCCAGTCCACGTCGAACGGGCGGTTGCGTCGTTCCACAAGAGTGGGATGTAGCCTCGACCGAGCCATGCTAATGTCTAGTCTTGCCCGCATTTTCGCTTCGATCCTTATCGATGATCGCGCGTGACAACCAAGATGGAGAGAAAGATGGGTTGAAGGGCTTGGGGAGGCGAACGGGGAACCCAATCAGAGGGATGGAATGCTGGAGAGAGGGAAGGCGAGTGGCTTCTCGGCCCGCCACGTCAATGGAACTTGTAGGCGCCGCAGGAGGGGAGCTTCTGGCCTCAGAGGACAGCGTCAATCCCTCCCTTGACAAAACTTGTTGGACAGCCGCACCCTTCTCCCAACCCGCTGTCCCCCCTCCTCACCTCTCTTTTCTGCCTTATCCCTTCATTCCTTGCCGGTTGGCTACAGAAAACCACACAAGGCAGAGCCCGACCCTGTGGACAGCATCGCATAGCATATCACGGCATTGCGTAGCATAGCATAGCTAACGAAAACCCGTCGTCCTCTCCTCACCCTATCGCCAAACCGAGCAGAGCCCAAAGAATGGAGCAGGCAGGCTTGGTTCTGGGCAATATAGCCATGTCCAGTTTCTTGACCACGTGTCTGGATGGGTGCAACTACGTGACGCTGGATGCCCAACAGGGGGGAGAATTTAACATGGCCTTCACGAAGCTCCTCCTCCTGAGAGGCTGGCTCAGCGCGGTGGGGTCGACGGTTCGCGGGACTTCTTCGGCCAACCATCCGCCAGCGATGCAAGCACAGTTGGAATCCCAGAAGCAGGTGGTCAGAGTCAGCGTCGAGAGTTTGAGGCGGCTGTTGCAGCACTCGAAGAAGTACCATGAGAATTCCGGGCTCAAGATCAGGGAGGACAGGTCTGAAGGAGTGGTGCATGTAGGTGAGATGGCGGCGATCGAGCCAGCGTTCTATGCGACGGAGGACGCAGTCCCAGAGCAAGATCCCTATTCAGATTCTCCTCACTTATCGTCGTTCACCAAGACGGCCCCGGGTCAAGCCCAGACGCTGGAACATCATCGCAAGATCGAAGCCCACATTGCGGATCTCGACAACTTTGTGGACAGACTCGACTATCTGCTTCAATATCTCGGGCTGGTCGACGACGACGCGATGCAGGTCGAGCTGGTGAGGCAGGCGATGGAAGCCATGCCTGAGCCGTCCAGCATTCGGTTGTTGCTTCAAGCTTCCGGGTCCGACTCCCACAGCCCCGAAGGCATCTTCCCCACCGCTGCTGCTGCTGGTGCCGCCAACTTCGCGGCCACGGGCCTTGCCGAGCCGACCAAGCTAGCAAGTCATCAGTACATTCGAAATCTCATCAAGGAGCAAGCAAGGGCCGTCATGGGGGACGTGGGACACGTCGACGGCAGCGCCAGAAGTTTTTACCAGGACAACGAGATGAGTGGAACTTCGCGAGCCGTCCTGGGCAACGTTGACGGCTCCTTTGGGTTGGGTTTCTTTGACAGGACCCCGTCCGACAAATCTTAAATAATGTAGCTAACGACCGAACGAGCTAACTATGTTACCTATAGAGCGATAGTTGAATAGTGTGAGCATTGGAAAGAAATAAAGGGGGAGGGTCTTTATCTTGATGGAAACCACAGAACGAGAGTATACGCACAGAGACACTTACTACTGCCAGGATTATAAGCACAATCAATCTTCTTTCTTTCTCATTGCGTTTGATGTTCTGTGATCTCAAAAATGACGCCTCCTTGTCTGAACAACCTGCCGAAACGCGCCCAATGAAACTAGCTAGCCAGGAAATATGCAACGATGATACCATCCATGCAATGCCTACGTCTCGTGATTCTGGACCCCTTTTTGTAGTCAAACAGATGCATGCCAGATAAGCACACGTTCATCTCACATCAAAACATGTCATGTCACATCATGTCACCCTTTGTCACCTTTTCCTTGGGCTCGCTGTGCCTGCGCTGGCCCCGTCGTCGTCGAGCTCGTCCTCTTCCTCAATCAAAGCCGGCGTGCGCCTCTCGTTTCGTCTCTTTGGCCGTCTCCTCCGCGCACTGGAGATGTTGCTGGCTGAATCGTCCGGCTCGATCTCTCCTAAGCCGTCCCACTCCCCGAGCCCGTCGTCAGTCTCGGCGTCCCATCGCCCTGCGGTCCCGTTTTCTCCGTTGGGCAGGATCCCGCTCGCCGGAGTATCCATGCGGACCTCAATTCCGCCACCCATCACGCCACGTCGGCGCTGGGCGGCTGCTGCTAGGCCAGCAGAGCGCTCTCGTAGGGCTCGACGAACGTTTTCTGCTTTGTTGTGCAGGATCTCAAAGGCATCTTCGAGGGCTTCCATTCCGGCATAGATGTCACGTTCAATCTCAGCCAGGGTCGCCAGCTCGGTCTCCTCATCGAATGCAATGGGTGCCCCAAACTGGGCATTGGGAACGCCGTTTGTGTGCGCGTGAGGCTGGGAGTAGCTGGTCTGGCGAGAACCGTAACCATTACCATTAGTTTGAGGCCCGTAACCAGGCGTAGCGCCTCGAGTCGGGGGCCGATAAGGCGTCGGTCCTCTTGATGGGATGTGCTCCGGTAAGGGAACGTCTTCTGCACCACTCCTGAGAAACCCATCAAAGCGGCCTGAGATCAGAATGTCCCATTCGTCGTTGGAAATTGCAGCCAACGTGGCCAGTGCGTTGTGCATTGAACGATTGTTGAGTAAGAACAGTGCAGCCTCGCAATCTCTGGGTGCGGTCGCTAATCGGTATAACCTTTGTATCGCTTGCGAGGCAACAGCGATGTATGGAGGCTGAACTCTGGGAGCGGGCGTTGGAGTCGGTGTTGGGTGAGGCGGACGGGGTTCGCCTTTTTGCTTCTCTAGTTCGGGCGTCGGTGCTCGTCTAGGAGGTTCGATCGGCCGATCCACGATACCGAGCAGATCTTTGAAGATAGGCCTTTGACCAGCGGGAAGATGTGTCAAGATGGCAAAGGTCAAGGTCTCCTCGTCGACCTCTTCAGGCGGCGAACTAGGGTCGTCACTCTGTCGGCTAAGCCACTTATCCACGCTCTGCTTCGTCTTGCGCGACTGTCGGATGTAGTGTTCTCTGTACTCTTCCGGTACATCAATGTCGAGTTTCTGCATGGGTACGCGGAACTCTAGAGAGATCCCCAATCCCACCGGTGACTGCGTAAAGGCGAAAGGAGGCCAACTGGGGAGATCTTTTCTCCCAGACACCAGCTCCAGGACTTCGCCCCAACTGACACCTCTGACGTCCTCGGAATGATCGTATTCGCACATGGGACACTGACATGCTTCCGAGGAGATATCTCGTGCAAAAACAGCCTCAAGTCGATCCAGAAGTCGTCGTGCCACTGAGCGGTACCCAGTGGCTACGGCTAATGAACCGTTCTTCGACATGACTTTTTCGTAGTCATCAAGCAGCGCAACATAAGGTTCGAATAGATTTGCAACCAAAATAGAGTGTTGATTCGGCGCCTGAGCTTGTTGCACCGCCATGGGTTTTCCGGCCAGTAGCAAATTCTTCGTTACCGACTGGTTTAGTCCACCGTGCTGCAGCAGGTAGTCGACCTTGGGTACAGAGACGGGGATGGGCGCTGGAGGCGGTGGCGGAGGTCCGGGGGTTTGTGAGACACCCGCAGGGGTCCCCGTTATGACTGAGGCATTGTCCTCTATATAGACTTCCATTGGTGTAACTCCCCTTGACTGGGGGATGACAACTGTTGGGCCATCGGGATACATGGTGGTGGAAGGGATTTTTGACCCTGGCCGCTGAATGGTAGGTTGTTCTGGGGCTATCGAAGTCGCTTCGGAACTGATGTTCGTGCCAGTTTCGGTTGCACTGTTGGTAGTTGTGGGAGAAGCAGTCCGGGTGGGTTGACTGACTGATCTTTGAGAAATGGGCATTGTTGAGGCTGGGGTTACCGTTTTCAATGGCGTGGTTGGTGTATCGCGCGGTTTCCGGGTCGGGGAACTGTCTGTGCCCAGCTCAGAGGAAGTACGCAGATGGCCCTTGGATCCTCTGGTTTTTGGTATGAGGCGTGCCTTGGCTGTAGTCTTCACATCTCCCTCCGTCTGAGGACCCATCTCTTCTTCCTGAATGGTGTTGACCGACACGGGCCTCCCGACATTGGCTTTCCATTTCGCCGTGCCCGAGTTCTTGTCGGTGAGCGGCGGACTGGGCGGCGCCTCATGCGCAGACGTAGAATGCCTCGAGGGTGGTTTGTCTTTGGAAATATTCAGATCGGTCGCAGGGGGAGTGAGGACGTTGAGGACGGGGTGACTTCCCAGTCCGACGGCTTCACGGCTATGTTCTCTGGAGAATGAGGGATAGGGCAGGCTGGACTTGGAGTCCGATTTGATGGGGACATCTTCGACCTTTCCAGGCATGGAGGACCGTCTCTTTTCATTGACCGGTGAGATGGATGTTCTTGAGGATGTCTTTTCACGGACAGAGGCTTTGCGATGCGATCGATGTCTTTCCTTGTCCCTGTCTTTATCTCTATCCCGGTCTCGGTCACGGTCTTTTTCCCGATCCCTCTCTCGGTCTCGATGATCTCGTTCTTTTCTGTCCTTTTCTGATCGTGACGACTCCTTTTTCTCGCGCCGCCGCTCGGTGCTATTATCTCGAACTTTGGAAGGCATGATAGTGGACGGGTGGTCGCATGATGCGGCCGCACTTTGTTGTACTTCAAGGCGCTTAGACCGCGGGTACCATTTGTGCCCAAAGGCGACTTATTGTGGACTTGTCGGGGGCGCTTAAGCGGGCGGGGAGAAGACCCTGTCACCACAAAGAACGGGAGGATGGTTTGGCCAGGATGTTCGAAGATATGAGTCGAAGGAGAGAGACAGGTGGTGAAAGCGAACTGAGCTTTATGGAGGCAAGGGTCAAGGGTTGGAGTGTCGTGTCACTCTGTGGTTTGGTTCTTGCAAGAAGTGAGGCCCCCGTCTGCGATGATGTCGTTGGTTGTCGTGGCGCAGTCGGTCGAATTGCTGGTGGCGGGAAAATGGCAAGGCTGGTTGATTGGATCCTTTCCAGGCGCCCTCCTCATCTCCCATTTCCCATTTTCCCACTTTCCCACGCAGCCAAAATAGATCAGCAATAATTCTATTATTCTGGATAATAGATCTTTTACAGGCGCTTGTTTGCTTTCAAGATGCAAACGATCCTTGTGTAGCTCGTATCCCACTGAATCTCCCTGTCAAAGTGCAAAGTGCGCAAACTCAAGGACTCACGATTCCCCACAATCTACCCTGTGCGCCTCACTAAACACATCCTATTGCACCCTGGCTCTGACCTGATTTCATCTATCATGCTCGTCCTTATCCTCCTCTTATCGTCGTTTTATTTACATGTTCAAAACTAGAAGCGCCGCGCCGCATACGGCCGCTGCACCAACCACACCAGTTCTCGCCGGTACCGCAGCTCCAGAACTACTGCTTGATGTCGCCGTTGCACCTGTGGCGGATTGACTAGCCATCGTGGTAGTTGGCACAGCCACTCCCGAGGTGAAAGGGATGCTGCTGGCAGAGCTAGCACCACTGAATGCGGGCGAGCCAGATGTCTGGGATGGTTTGGGCATCGCGGTGGTGTTGTTGGGGTTCAGCACATTGTCAATGACGTGAACCACACCATTAGCGACGAGGACATCGGGCACAACCACTCGTGCACTATTCACAAAGACCTCCCCGTTCTCGATGGTGATGGTCAGGTCGTTGCCCTGAGCCGTTTGCACCTTGCCATTCTGCAACAGGGTGCTGTACCCGACCACGCCTTGAACCAGATGATACTGGAGGATCGAGGACAAGTCTTGCGTGGTCAGATTTGGGAGAGCAGAACCGATCGCCTCGAACGCTTCGTTATTGGGGACAAACAAGGTAACATCAGATAGGATGTCGACCGCTGTCGCCAGGTTTGCACTGGTGAGAGCACCCACAGCAGCAGAGAGGTTGAGTTGAATTGCCGTATCCGATATGTTTTGCGGGATAGTCAAGACGCTGTCCAGAATGTGTACCACGCCACCACTGAAGGTGACAGGGCCGCTGCTGACACCGGCATTGCTGAGCAACCCCGAGGTGAAGGAAACTTCGTTCTTGTTGGAAGTTGCTCCGACCACTTGACCGCCAGTTACGTTGGTAAATTGAGGCGATTGCAGAAGAGTCGGGATGAACAGCTTGTCGCCAAAGTCGGTAGACGTCCCGTTCAACACGTGGTAGGTCAACAGTGCTTCGATTGCCGAGGTGTCGTTCTGAACCAGGCCAAGTCCTGCGGGGGAGTTGAACAGCTTCGCAAAAGCATTGTCGCTGGGTGCAAGAAGAGTGATGTTCTGGAGCGCTCCCAACGTCGTCGTGAGGTCCGGAAACAGTTCCAAGTAGGAGGTAAGGTTGGACAACTCGGGTGTGTTTGCGAGTACTGTGGCCAAGTCCTGTGCAACAGCCACGCCAACAAAGGCCCCTACAGTCAATGGCCTGAACCACGTCATTGGATATCTTCGTGATGGTGAGTATAGGCTCGAGAGAGCAGAAGACCAACTTGACGACGATGAGGCTATGATGGGTTCAAGGGGTTTGGAGGTATCAAACTTTAGAGTAGCAGTGCGGATGAAGAGGTATTTGACAACGACACAGGCCGTGGTTGTTTTCCTCGACAAACGGCACACAGGTAGGTCACTGACGCCGGGTACTACCTGATCCGGTTTCTCGGTCGTGGCACAAGTCGAGTGCCGGGGGATGGTGCAACTCGAGGAGCGACACACTAATCAACCGCTACGCAGCGAGCGGCTACTTGGGACGACGGGCACAGTCAGATATCGAACCGCGCAGCCAGTCCCTGAAGACGAGAAAGAGGGACTAGTAAGACGTGAGGATGGTATAGGTATAGGTGCCACGGAGTTAAAAGCATTGTGCTCAGGATCCGAGAATGGAAATGGAATTCTGAAACACACAAACAGGGGCCTGTGCGACAGCCGCGAGACGGAAGACGGAAGCTCCATGTTGAGGCCGTATAAGAGACGTAAGTCTACGGAAGCATGGTGTGCCGCACGCAGATCTTGTCGTGCTGGATCTGAAATTTAGAATCAATCAATCTGAAGAAGCTGCTGCCTGTATAGAGATGGTGAAGAGAGCAATATAGACCGGAGTTCGACCATCTGCAACATTCGCAGTTTGTGGCCGGTGAAAGAAAGTCAACATCAAGGGGGAGAGAGAGAGAGAGACAGAGAGAATAAGAAACCTCATCTTCCTCTATCACCGCATCACCCTTTCGTTTGACCAGGCCATGCGCCCAAGCCCCCGCCACCCAACTCGAATGCTTTGGCTGCTTTCAAGACTCGAATATCATCCCATCTCTTGCCGATCACCTGCATACCAACAGGGAGCATCCCGCGCCCGTTCCGCGCAGGAGCCCAACCACAAGGCACGTTCAATGCGGGATGGCCTGTGACATTGAACGGACATGTGTGGTTGGTTGATCCAACTGCTAGTTTGATCTTGTCCATGACGCTGCTGCCACCTTCGGCCTCTGGGCGCAAATCAGGATGTGGAGGAGCAACCGCTGGCGTCGTAGGGGTGATAAGGACATCAAATTCCTCCAGCGCCTTGTCATAAGCTGCTCTTAATTGCAAGACATGGCGATGTGCCTTCGCCTGGACTTCTGGACCAAATTTTTCTTTAAGAAACGTCTCGCAGAAAATGATATTTATGACTGCAGGGTTAGCCACGGTCAATAGATCGTACATTTCTTGGTCTGGGGGCCATCTCAGGGACAGATGCGGAATATTATGGCTGAGTACGTCAGGTATGCGGCCACCAATGGCCAGTCCAGCGAGGTGCGCTCTGGTTGCTGCGGTCCAGATGGCGGGACCGAGCAGATGCATCGGCACTGAAACTTCGGAAACTGTTGCTCCGCTCGCTTTGAAGTGTTCCAATGCGGCGGAACGCACGATCTCTGCGACTTCTGACTGTGTGCCTGGAGCACTGAGTGACTCCGTGATGATGCCGACTTTGAGGCCTTTGCCCGGGTGCTCTTCAGAAGCGAGTTGCTGAACATAATCAGTAACATGCTGCCGGAGTGGCGATTCAGGCGTCATGCGTGTATCAAGCCCATCATAGCCAGCAACCACTGTGAGTAAAGTGGCTATATCCTCCAATTTTCTCGCCATCGGGCCTGTGTAGTCGATCATTGGATGAAGTCCAGCGATGCCCGTATACGGGACAAGGCCATGCGTGGGCTTGAGACCATAGACGCCGCAGTATGCAGACGGAAGGCGGATGCTCCCTGCTTGATCGCCACCCATCGCCATATCAACGTCTTCCCCGGCTTCCTCTAGACCGGGGACTCCAGCTGACCGAGCGTTCCCCAGCGCGAGGAGACATGCCCCTCCGCTTGTACTCCCGCCCGTGTTATGGTCGTGGAGCCAAGGGTTATGAACCGGCCCATTGGCTGAAGTGTAGGACATCGGCGTCAGAGAATAGTTCTCACACGTTGATGTGCCTGCTATAGTGGCTCCAGCCTCCAGCAATCTCTTTGTTATTGTTGCGTCGATCTGAGCGATGGGATATTTCCCATCCTTGGAAACAAGTTGAGGGAAGGTTCCACAAGTATGTGGTAGACCATAAACAGACATGTTATCTTTCATAATGACCTTGCGACCTTTGAGGACGTCCGACAGCGGTTTCTCTGCCACAATATGCGCTTGGTGACTCCATGCATTGTGACTATTATTCTTGGATTTCCAATACTCTCGTCCACCGATCGTAGGAACGGGCTCGAGCCGAGGATCGATGTAGTCTGGCAGGCTGTCGACATTTGCAGCCGTCATGTCAGCTGATTGAAGGACAAGAAGGTATGCTTCTTCGTCTCCCTTGGACGCAATTCGGATGTTATTGCGCGCTGCGACATCGTGGAGAACATCGAGCGTAACGCTGGACCTTGAACACCGTTAGAAATATCCTCTCGGGGTGATGAGCACTGGACATACTGCTGCCCGTCTGCTAATGCCACAATAGACATCTTTTATGAGTTTCGCGCTTCGAGGTATTCTCTTGAAGTCTGAGCGAAGGGTCTGTCCCGAGGGCCGTGGAGTCAAAGTACATAATGAATATTCAATCGAGCAACGCTCATGTCCGATTGCGGGCGTCGATCTCCTTCGATATTGTTGGTCCTCTGTATGCTCGGCAGTAACGAAACTGCGTCGTCTGTCTTCCTCATCTAGGCAAGGCTGAGTATACCTCGTGCTGGGAGGATGCTGTCTCTCCGTAATGCTGCGCTAGCGCTGTACCCGCTAAAGCTGATCTGCCGCCTCACATGCCATCACCTGCTGTAACCACAGTATGCTTCAGGACTGGGCTCCAGCAGGAACATTTTCCAACCAATTCCATTCCACCAATACTCTACCAAGGTCGACGTCGGCCAAATCAGCAAAAGTGTTGATGGTGACATCGATGTCCATTGGCTGACAGCCCGTGCACCTGTCTACCACCGTCAGATCAACACTCTTGTTGTCCTTGCGCGCCCTGATCTTCTTGCCACACAATGGGTTTGCATTTGGGTTGCTGCCAACACTGACTGCATCAAAAACAATGTGTGAGATGGCCACAATCTTGTCATTGTCATCGGACGTAAGTCCGCATGCTCCCAGACCCGGCTCATAGTATGTCAGATCTCCAGTGTAGGGACCACCATTTCCCAAAGGCAATGGTAGGTTCTGCTTGTGCTTGCGCGTCGAGAGACCTGCTGCAAGTCCAATGATAAGCGCAATGATGGCGAGGACAGCAACCAGGACAAGGATGCGAACTCTGCGCGAGAGGTTCTTCCATCGGTTCAGGAGACTTTCGGTTTTATTAGGAACTCGAGGTGGCAGCGATGTGGGCACAGGTTTACGTCGAATCGTAGGTGTCGCAATTTTTTCCACCTCCCCTACTTGTATTTCTGCTGCTTCACCCATGCTCGGTGTCCGTCACAGGCTCGATTACTGTAGAGGAGGATTGAAGGGTGCGCAGGGTTCGAGTTCGGTGGCTAAGTCGTTCACGAAAGCGTTGTAGAGAGAGTTCTCCAGCTGTTCAGTCAGAGCTGTACAAAACTTGCCTCAAGCGCCATATTCGCCAACAACCAGCAGTAGACAGGAAATACCACCGTCGCAGTCAGAGCGAAATTGCGCGCCAAATGGCAGTGGAGCTGTCTCGCCTCGCTCGGTCATTTCGATTATGATTGGTTCTCTGGCATTCCCCCGGCAGATGGCGAGCAGCGATGCTTGCTGGTGTTTCTCGACAGCTCGTTGGCCTCAACTCGAGCAACAGCCACGAGGAAAATCATTCTGGAGGGTCTGGAGGGAGATGATCTGCAGACAGGTTCTTGAGTGTGGGGAACATGATAAAGTGCCACAGTGTCTAAGGACTCGCAATCAGTGAGAAGTGACCAATACGAGTGGCTGGGGCCGCCTAGGAAGTCACTCCCACGAAGGTAAATATTCATAGAGATGCGAATGCATGGGTCCACACTCCCTGCTGCCTGCCTTTGCTAGGTACCAGCAGTAACTCGCTGAGATATGAAAGACCTGTGCAGAGCCGCAAGATGGAAGAAGCCCTACAAGAACTCTTACAGAGCAACCCGGTGCTCTATTCTTCCAATCACTGACAATCCGGCGCTGCGCGTCACATCGCCTGAACGATGACCGCAGCTGCGCTAATCTCCTCTGGTATAATATTGGCGTCGCCACCTCTTTCTCCGCTCTCAGTCACCGAGCTGCCAGTCATCCGTACCGATGACCTGGGCATGATTGCTGATGATGAACGCGAACGAGAGAAGGTTCAAGCTGGGCTACCAACAAAAATATCCCAAAGGCGTAGAGGCGCCGGTGTACGTCGCAGTGTCACGTATGTCTCCAGGCATTTCGTGAAGGAGCCCCGCAAAGATGAGCAGCGGGAGGACAACTCCATGGAGACAGACGAGATCTCGAACAAGGGCTTCGACAATGCGTTAGGTGCAGACTCTGAGAATGCTTCAATCATTGCCACGCCACCAAAAACACCTGCCAAAAGCCGAGTATACTATGGACTCAATGTCGACGAGCTCTCTTCGGACTCAAGTCTCACAGACGTACCCGATGATATTGGACCAGACCCATTCTCTCCAGAGCCTAAGTCCTCTTTGGCCGGTCCTGGAGCCAGACAGTTCAAGACCAAGACCAAGACCAACAAGTCCCGGAGATCAACAACGTCGCCCTACTTCCCGCAGGCGAACAAACATCGACCTACATTCCTAGCGACACTACCATTCCCGCCTCTTTCCCACGACAAATTCGGCTTGATGCAAGAAAGATTGGCTCATGATCCATTTCGTCTTCTTATCGCCACCATCTTCTTGAATAAAACGCCTGGGGAGCGTGCAATGCCCGTCTTCTATCAACTCATGTCACACTACCCTACACCGACAGACCTTGCCAACGCCGAAGTTAGCGACATTACCTCGATCATATATGAACTAGGTTTCCAGAACCAACGAGCGAGGAAATGTGTAGCCATGGCAAAGGTCTGGCTCGAAAGCCCACCTTCACGCGGAAAGCGGTATAGAAAGCACAATTATCCACTGAAGGGCGACGGACGAGATGTCAAGCAAGATGAAGTCCTCGATGACGATGATCAGCGCGTGGCATGGGAGATTTCTCATCTGCCTGGACTTGGGCCATACTCTCATGACAGTTGGCGCATGTTCTGCCGGGATCAGCTGAGAGGAGTTGCCAAGAGTTGGAATGGTGAGGGAGCGGATGACCCAGGAACATTCGAACCAGAGTGGAAGAGGGTGGTTCCATTGGATAAGGAACTGCGAGCATATCTCACGTGGATGTGGTTGAAGGAAGGCTGGGTTTGGAATAAAGAGACCGGCAAGCGAACAAAGGCAAGTCCTGAACTTTTGTCAATGGCAAAAGGAGGCGGGATCGTGGTGGAAGAGAGGGATTCTGCTCATCTGGTTATCAAGAGCGTCCAGGATGAAAATGTCGATGTCCTGAAAGAGAACAGACAAGTCGAACGCACTGCGGGAGAATACTTGCCTGTTAACCCAAGTGGCGAGAGCCGAGATTAAAGAAATCGCGTCCTCCAGGGATCTGTTCAGCACAGGTGTATTGATTCCAAGTCCCAGGTCCTATTGGGACTCATATATCGCGACGGAAGAAGAGCGATCGACACTCATCCGGCACGTGTGCAAGTCCTTCAGTCCCGTGTCCGAGACTCAAAAGTCCCAGAAGCTTGGCCCGTGGTACTCCGTGATATGTATGACACTTCTGCAAGGGGCTTTTGAGAGCAAAAGTATAAAGTGACAAGACAATCCCACTCCGGTTACCTTGTCCCCTGTAGAGCCATCGGCTGCAGAGCGCAGAGTACAAAGCGCAAAGTATGTACCCCGTATTGCGTTGTGACCTCTCTGTACCGAGTACGGGTGCATGACTCAAGCCTGGATGTGACGGATACTATCCTCCCTAGTATAGTCCAAGTGGCTTGTACTCGGCATTGCCATGGACTGTGCCGTCCTAGAAGGCAACCAATCCGCAACCCGTGGTGGCTCAATAGTGGCTGCCTTTCCCGTCGCGAAAAGGACTGCAAGGCTGAGTGAGGACGAGGGACTCAACTCGCTGGCCTGTCAAGGACCACATCTCACAAAAGTCCCCAGTCCCAGCAAGAAACTGTTTGATGAATGGAACCTGCCACAATTATATAAGGCGTAGGTAGCCCCTTGATGTGCGATATCCGTGCTCTACCATTTTTCATCGCATAGAATCCGGAATCATCACACTACATGCTAAGTTCCTTCAATATGTTCTCCACCCGTCGCCCAGTTCGGCCGAATCACTTCCATGACTTGACCGATTTTATCGAAAGCACTGATACAAGTAGTGCTGGCGGAGAGTTGAGAACGACTTGGACAAGTGGCCATGAAGAGAGACTCACTCCTGGAACCATAATCCATATCAAGGACAAACTTGCGAACAGTCGTATCAATGATACAGTGATGCTAGTGTTGCGGAGGAGCACCGACACACAATCCTCCTTGACATGCCTGTCCTTCTGCGCACACCATGGCCGCAAACTGTCAACACTCTACAATACTCACCGACTTGTTCTACCCAAGGTGCTAGACACGACACCGTCGCAGCAACAAACTCCCGCCAGAACAAACACCACAGATGGAGGTCCAACATTAAGGGGTGCCGAGGTTGAGTTATACATCAATGGCTTTCGGCTCAAACAAGGATTGACATTGAACTGCGAGGAGTTATGGCACGTGGAGCGCGAAGTCGACGTTGCCGTCTTGGGCGAAGTGACGGCATCATCGTTCAAGGAGGTCGTCGTTCATGTGAAGCAGCTGTTCTGTGACTCATTAGAACAGGCTGTGAAAGAAGTGGAAAGCCTCTTCCCAGCACCAGCCTCGTCAACTACGAAAAGCAAGACCGACAGCCCAGCCAAAGCACGTAAGCACACAGGCAGTGTGAGAAAGAAAAGAACTGTATGGTGAAAGGAGGGCTTATGGACGAGTCGAGACCGTGGCCCGGCTGGTACGCTCGATTATCGATTGTCGGTAGAGATTGGCGCATACTCGTATATCGGCTTGAAGAAAGACCAACTTGACCCACAGTTAGTTGTCCCCGAGTCCTGGCGATTATGGACTGGGCGCCAGTGTTTGTGCGTGGGAATAACTTTGTGCTGGATTCCGTGGGTTGGCTCTCCGATTTCTGGGCATACATGGTCTTCCTTCTCACAGAAATATTGTTGACGCCTTGTTCCGTTTCCGATAGCTTTCGCGAGTCTTGACCGCTATTCTGTGGGGTTTCTTGAGCAGAATCCACGCTTCTATAATAATTTTCTCTCTTTTGTGTATCAAGTACCTTGGCATGCAAATATCTTGTGGCTGGGATGTGGTTCTTTGGCGACACCGTGATAGCCAGAGACCATTTGACACCGCTCGAAGTCACTCTAAGTAATTGCTGGACCGAAGGTGGGTGGATATTTGCTCCACGTCAGATAACTGGTAACATCGGCTTCCGTGACCTCCGGCATGATATGTACAAAGCCAAGTCCCAGTTATACGGTCAGCCGGCTTGACTCTGGTTGCTGTAACGGCTGCGAACTAGGGACCAACGTGACGCCTTTGTGACTGACTGGTCGAGAAGTTCCAGCTTCGCACGCCTGATGATCGAGGGATCGGGAAAGATCTGGTGCCTGGCAGGCTCTGGGACGGAGGAGCAAGCGAGGCCGACGATTGGAAGTCCGCGAAATGGACATCATCGGCTTTGCCTCGTGAACGACAGGTTCAATGCATCAAGCTGTCTTAGCCATACATAGTCGAGAAGTTTCAATTTGGGGGAGAGAGGGGGAAGAGATCGCCAACTTGGCTATTTGTCGACGTAGTGGTGAAAAGGCTAATAAGTGAATTGCATACGTATGTCCGAGTTGCAGAAAGGACCCTGAGTTTCCCTGCGCCCCCAAGGCCCAGAGATAGCGTTGGAAGGGCTGCCCCTCGCACCTTACTGTGTGAGAAACACGTATGGCATCATAACCAAGACCGCAGCTGGCGCATGCCACCAACTTGATCAGACCGACACAACCTGCGCCAGACACAAGTCACCTTTGTCAACTATCCAGACCTGGTTTCACATTGTCAGTTTCCTGACAGCTCACACATCTATTTCTTGGTCTTAACAGGACTCTGTCTGCCCGCTGCTGTCTTCATCCACCCCTCGTTAAATTCCTCCAACTTGAGGCAGCCCCCAAACCCCCTCAATCCTTCCCTTTCAGCTTCCATCGACCTGTTTCAGCCTCAGTCCCTCCGCTTTATAGCACAACTCCTGTGCATGGCCATAAAAGGTTCGGTATCATCGAGACTTTCCCACGATTTCTGCGCCCTTCAGTACAATCAATATGGTACACATATCACTGCCTAGAGGCCTTAGCCATCTGGGAGGATCGAAACACAAAGACAAAGATCAAAGTGCCAGTGGTTCTGCGCCCAATGGGGGTGGCAGCAGACGGCCCAGTCCTCCAGGACTTCCGAGTAACAACAACAGCACTGTTGCCCTGGTCGATCAAAAACCACTCATCCTCAAAGTATATGTTATAAAGGTATCTGCCCTCGTGCCAGAATCAATATCGGCTGTCGCTCACCCTTCCTCAGGCCAGAAACCTAGCACCAAAAGACCGATCTGGCACCTCCGATCCCGTACGTTACTACCCTCTCCCCTACAAGCCAGAATATCCTTTTGACAGTCGTAGTATCTTGTGGTTACCCTCGGCAGTGCGAAACAGTCAACACCCTCCATTGCAAAAACTCTCAATCCTGAATGGAAGATTTGCTTCGATATGCCTTTGACTGGCGTTCCCCTCCTTGAATGCATGTGCTGGGACAAAGACCGCTTTGGCAAAGACTACATGGGCGAGTTTGACATCCCGATCGAAGATATCTTCCCAAATGGGCAGATACAGACCCAGCCAAAGTGGTACAGGCTGAACTCGCGGAGACCTTCAGGCAAGAAACAGAGTAACGTCTCGGGAGAAGTGTACATGCAATTCTCTCTTGTCGATTCCGCGAATCCATCTGCAAGCCCGGACGAGATACGGAAAAAGTTCCAAGCCTACTTGGGAGCAGAAGAGGAGGATGACGAACTATCCCGTGTCTCTTCCAATCTCGATGATCTGGCAGGAGACGAAGATTTTGACGATCTTGACGAGGATCAGGAGGAATCTGTTACAGAGACCGAGTCTACACAGAAACCAGAAACTGCTGACAAGAAAGCGAAGAAGAGAAGACTCGCACGTCTCCGTCGCCGATCGATTGCGGCAAGAGCTTACAACTTCCTTTCGGAAGACAATGATGTCAATGGCATTATTTTCTTGGAGATTGTCAAGATCAACGATTTACCACCTGAAAGAAATATGACCCGGACCTCTTTCGACATGGACCCCTTCGTTGTTACTGCATTGGGTCGCAAGGTCTTACGAACAAAGGTGGTTCGGCACAATCTGAACCCGGTATATAATGAGAAGATGGTGTTCCAGATCAAACGCCATGAGGTCGGCTACTCCTTTACATTCAGTGTGATCGATCGAGACAGCTTGTCAGGCAACGACTTTGTGGCTTCGACCTCATTCCCCCTCCAGAAAATGATCCAGGCTGCCCCTCAGGAGGACCCAGACACTGGTCTCTATGATCTTCCCGAGCCACCGGAGTATTCGCCGGCAATGCAGCAAAAGGGCAGATTTCGTATTCCCTTATCACGTACCACGTCGGCCAATAGTCTAACCAAAATGGCGAGGCCCGGATTGAAAAAGGACGACTCCCAAATTTCACTGTCCAGCACAAATAACAGCGGCAGTAGTGACGATACCGCTCGGGTCCCGCCGCCTACCAGCGTGCCTCCTGAAAACAACGGAAATAATCTGAAATTGCCTGGCGGCACTGAAACGCCGCCAGCCCAGCCCGCGGAAGACCCGACCATGATCCCATATGTCATCCCATTGGAGCTCAAAAACAAGGAACGATGGGAAGACAAACACAGTCCTGAGCTTCACATCCGAGGAAGATATCTGTCTTATAAGGCGCTGCGGCAACAGTTCTGGAGGGCGATGTTGAAACAGTATGATGCGGACGACAGTAAGCGGATCAGTAAGATCGAGTTTACCACGATGCTTGACACGCTGGGATCGACTCTTAAAGAATCAACTATTGACAGCTTCTTCAAACGGTTCGCCGCCGAGAATGAAGATGTTGGGGAAGCGGACTTGACCTTTGACCAGGCCGTCATGTGTCTGGAGGAACAGCTACAGAAGAGCAGTGAAAAGAAGTCGCAGCTCGAGAGGATTAAGACCGCCGAAATATTTTCGACAGCAAAGGACATCATTCCTGCCAAGATTGACAATAACGATGAAGTACCCAGCATCACACAAGAACCGACAGGGGCGGCGGGTGAAGAGGGGAAACTTCTGGGCAATGACCTTGCGGACGAGGGTGATGAAGAGCATGTCATCGAGATCCGGGAGTGTCCAATATGCCACCAGCCGAAATTGAACAAGCGCACCGAAGCCGACATCATCACGCACATTGCCACTTGTGCCAGCTCGGATTGGAGGCAGGTCAATAACTTGGTGATGGGCGGTTTTGTCACCCAAAGCCAAGCCCAACGAAAGTGGTATTCCAAAGTCATCACCAAGATCAGCTACGGGGGTTACAAGTTAGGCGCTAACAGCGCAAATATTCTTGTCCAAGACCGGATTACAGGGCAGATCAACGAAGAACGAATGTCTGTGTACGTCCGCATTGGCATCCGCTTGCTCTATAAAGGATTGGGCGCTGGCGAGATGGAGAAGAAACGAATTAAAAAGATGCTCCGATCGTTATCAATCAAACAGGGAAAGAAGTTTGACGATCCGGCCTCGGTCGCCCAAATTCCTGGATTTATTGCCTTCCACCAACTCGACATGTCTGAAGTGCTACTGCCCACTTCTGAGTTCAAGAATTTCAATGAGTTCTTCTATCGAGCATTGAAACCCAACGCTCGGCCATGCAGCGCGCCGGATCGACCTGAAATCATCGTCTCCCCAGCAGACTGTCGCTCCGTTGTGTTCAACACGATTGATGACGCGACACGAATCTGGGTCAAAGGCCGAGATTACTCACTTGAGAAACTATTTGGCGAGGCGTATCCATTAGAAGCGAAACGATACAAAGGCGGAAGTATGGGCATCTTCAGACTTGCTCCTCAAGATTATCATCGCTTCCATATCCCGGTTGACGGTGTTTTGGGAACTCCAAAAGCCATCGAGGGCGAATACTATACGGTCAATCCCATGGCCATCAGATCGGCGTTGGACGTCTATGGTGAGAACGTTAGAGTTTTAGTGCCTATTGACTCTGTTGCGCATGGCAGAGTCATGTACGTCTGTATTGGAGCAATGATGGTTGGGTCAACGGTCATCACTCGAAAGCCGGGAGAACGAGTCAAACGAGCTGAAGAGCTTGGATACTTCAAATTTGGCGGCAGCACAATTCTCCTTTTCTTTGAACCGGGAAAAATGGTATACGACAGAGATCTCGTCGACAACAGCCTTGGAGCTTTGGAGACATTGGTATGTTCTTCGTTTCGGCTTTCAATCTACATGTGTGTTACTGACTGTTGACTGCGCAGGTCCGTGCCGGTATGTCCATCGGACACTCACCGAATGTTGAGCCATACAAGCCGGATATGAAGAAGGATGAGAGCAGCATCACAAATGAGGAAAGACAGGAAGCCAGACGACGAATCGAGGGTAGCATTGCTCCCGATATGGACAACTATGGTATCATTCCCTCCGACACAAAGTCGCGAGATGTTATGAGCTCGCTACATCCGGCCAATATCGCCTAACAATACCATGAACGATGAGATGAATGTACGAACAATCGGGATTGAACGACTGGATTGAGATCGACCTGTTTGAGTTGGACCAGACGCATACAAAGAAACCGGGCATAAGAGACATGGGATTTATCTGACTGTTAGGTTTGGAAACGGCAAAAATTTGGCAGGGCCAACGACACTTGTTGGTTGGGTCCCAATACATCGTGCTTGCTCTTACTATGTCACGAAAGAAAGAAACTTACAATTTTCGATGTCATATATCTGCCTGTCTCAGTTCAAGATCTCAAAGAGGTTATTCTAGGCCCTTTGATACTGTACGGGCAGTGAGTCCTAGCGCTCCTGAAGCTCCTCAGCCTTGCCAAGCACCAAAGCCTGATTGTCTCGGATAAGCTTCCGTGCTGAGGTATAACCGAGGTTGAACCGCATTAAAATGCCACTCGTGCCGCCTTGGCCACTAATGCTTAACGCCGTGAATTGGTAACATGACGTGAACATTTTCTGGTCGTGTATCCATTCACGACTTCATTCATCACTTTGAGCACTTTTGTTGTCCAGAAGCTGTCCTCTTTGGTCGTATTTGCTGCTTATATCTCTTCTTCTCGTCTTGCGTTGTTGCTCTGGTGCCAGTTGAGAGGAGCATGGAGGGGAAGAAGGTGGTAGTGGTGGGTGCAGGCCCTGTTGGGTCATTAGCAGCGCTCTATGCCTCGTCTCGGGGGGCAGAGGTGGAGGTATACGAACTGCGTGACGGTATTGTCTCCCCCTGAGATTGATTGAACTCACTTCCTCCTTCTCTTTCATGTCGTGAGATGGCAGATTTCCATGATCTGATTCATTGACCTCTTGGTCGCTCTCTGGCTCCTCCCTCGTCTTCAGACGTTACATGGCCTGCGTCTTGAAACTGACCGATGCTGTCCTTTCCAGACCTCCGCAATGTGGATACCACACCTCTGAACTTCACAAAATCCATTAATCTTGCCTTATCCGAGCGGGGAATCAACGCCATTCGGTCGACAGGTAATCCTGAGCTGCTTGACAAGATACTGAGTCGAACAATTCCCATGCATGGGCGAATGATCCATGTCCGCTCCTCCGGCGGCGCTTTACTTCAACAATCTCAAGCATATGATGTTCACGGTCGATTCCAACGCTCGGTGGACCGAGGAGAGCTCAACAAGGTGCTTCTCGACCATCTGGACTCGCTTCCAAATGTCAAGCTCTTCTTCCAGCACAAATTGACAGGTGCAGATTTCCGAAAGAAGAAAGCTTGGTTCGAAGTAACGGACAAGAAGGGGACCACATTGTCGACCCGTGCCCAGGAGATCGAGGTGTCTTTTGACATCTGCATCGGGGCTGATGGCGCTCATTCAGCCACTCGACATCATATGATGAAGTTTGCCCGCATGGAATATCATCAAATATACATTGACTGCTTGTGGTGTGAGTTCACCATGCCCCCCACCAAGGAGGGAGGCTTCGCCATGCCTCCCACGTACCTGCATATTTGGCCTGCGGGCCGGTTTATGTTCATCGCCCTGCCCAACCTCGACCATACCTTTGTGTGCACGCTGTTTGGTCCTGTTGAACTGTTCACCAAGCTAGAGAATGGGACGGATGCGGAGCTCATCTCGACCTTTGACCAGTATTTCCCGGGACTGACGACATATATCCCGCCGGAAGACCTATTGGCCCAGTTTAAGCGCAATCCACACCTCCCGTTGATCAACATCAAATGCTCACCGCATCATTTCGCGGACAGTGTCGTCGTCCTAGGTGATGCTGCCAATGCGATGGTCCCGTTCTATGGTCAGGGAATGAATGCAGGATTGGAATCGGTTCGCGTCTTGTTCTCCAAGCTTGACGAGACTCCCGACAGAGCGGAAGCCCTCACGAACTATAGTGCTGAGCGGACCGAGGATGCGCATGTCATTGCAGACCTGGCGTTGGCAAACTACATCGAGATGCGATCTTCCGTCACCTCTCCCGTGTACAAGCTGCGCAAGTACATCGAGGAGAGACTGGACAAGTACCTCCCAAGTTTGGGTTGGGCAACCCAGTACTCACGGGTCAGCTTCAGCAACATGAGGTACAGCAACGTTATCAAGAAATCACAAAGGCAGAGCCGAATACTCACCACGCTTCTGCTTGCTGCGACAGGAACGGGCATGGTCAGCTCGGTGATAGGAGTTTGGTTGTTGTTGATGAGGTTACGGCAGAAAAATGTGATTGGGTTTCCATGGTCTGGGAGATGAGTTTCTCTGAGACCAATTCACTTCACTGTAGGCACGAAAAGAAAATATTGCAGAATCCAGGTTTTACCATCCGAATTCTGCGATTTGAGCCACTGCCATCCTCCTTCCTTGTCTCTGCGCTCCTTGACTCTTTCTTTGCATTCATCAACCACGAACAACTGGTCAAGTGTTACCCTCAGCCTACCCAGGACCTACCCAAGACCCATTTATGACCTTTGACCAACGGTGAGTGGGTGATGAGGATGTTTCAATGTGCTTAGTATTTGAGTTAAGTGGGCAGATTCTATTTTCCCTTCGGTGCCAGCCGAGTGCGTGCATGCATCCTTGTCCCTGCCTGTCCGTACTGTAAGCTTTATGTTCGTTCGCCCTTGTTCACAAATTCATGCTGACCACATGTAAAGAGGTTGACACTGTTTGACAGACAATCTATTCGCTTGTGTCATGCACTGGCAGCATCATCACACCGTGGCCGCACTACCCAAGACAAACACCGGCGCCTGTCGCTAATACTGATCATGACTCCCGCTCCCCTTTGTATTTATATGCCAGACTCAGCCTTGCCCATGTCAGGCGTCATAATCACTGACAAAAACCTTGGACTCGTTTTGTTCTAACCCAATGCCCACTAAGAGAATAGCTGGACCTCGTTCTCTTTCTCCCCGTCCAGATCCCTTCCGTCTAGTCCGCCAATATCCTTTTCCCCTCTCCCCTCCAACAGCCTCCGTTCCATCCTCACCGGCTTGAACTGATGCCAACAATCGGGTGCCTCAAGGACATACCGATTCATTGCCTCTCGAAACCTCCTCTTGTATTCCCGGGGAGATGTCACTGTCGGCCGGTTCTTGTTCCCACCGCGTACCGGCACAAGGCCACGATCCTTGATCCAACTTTCGAGTTTTTTGTCCCATGTATAAGTGCGGATACAGTCAATAATACCCACCACAAGCTCTTTCCGATTCTCGTCAATGGCGACCATGAGCGAATAGTCCATGACGTTCTGTCGTGCCAAGAATAATGTATCGTTGTGCACCGACGACCTCAAAAGTTTCTTGCTATGTTCCCGAGCAAAGAGGGGTGACTCATAGATGAATTCAACCATATTCTCGTCTAGCAAAACTTCGCCCTTCTCGCCTGTTGCGTTCATCTTCCGGTTCCGCATACTTCCCTTCAAGTCGAAAATGCGGGTAGGGACGCGGTCGTAGAACAAGTTCTCCATCACCAGGAGGAACCAATTGTATTCAAGCCCCGTGGCGGAATTTTTGACAATGATCTGGTAGAAGCCAAACATCTTCGCAATCACCGAGGGCAACTCGTGGAAGAAGGCCTCTGACATGATCTGGAAGTAGTTGGGTGCAAACTTGAGGAACGACTGTGTCTCGATAGGGGACAGTGACTTCAAAATGAATCGATCGTCGAGGGTTTTCAAAAAGAGCGACCTCGTTTTGCCACCTTTGGAATCCCATTTCAGGCATCTCGAGAGCGATTCGACAAATCGGTCAGCGACACCGCATTTTCGGCGCACTGCATCGAATTGCTCGGCGAAGAAGATCTTACAGAGCATCTTGGCTGGACCCTCCTGGAATTGGTATTTGAGATGAGTTCCTGTTTTGCGAAGGAGCGAATGCATGACTTCGGACTGCATATCATCGGCATGGTCATGGCCACTAAAATCATGGGCCATCTCCTCGCTTGGGGCGCGGTTCTGCATGTTGTGGAGCATCGTCGTGTAGTCCTGCGAGTCCAAGGCAAAGGCAATGATGGAGCTGGGCTCATCTTCGCGCACAATAATGTCGCAATCAGCGAAAATGTGTTCTGATGTTCCCAAGGGATATTCGAGGGTGGTCCAACCGCTCGACGACCGCTCAGCCCAGAAGTTGGTCAGCATCTTCATCAGCGAGGTTCTCTCATGTTTGGGAAGCTCCTTGAGATCGATATCATCTTGGGACATCCGCATTAGATCCTCAGGCGAGTCTGGTAAGAAGATCTCGTCCTCTGCTTCATCAATATCGCTCGGTTCCTCAGCTTCTGAAGGAGCATGGCTGGATGGCTGAACATCAGTCTCGTTCTCTGCTGTGTCCCCGGCCGGTTCTTCGACATGAAGTCCAGTGTCGCCTTCCTGGGGCGAGCCAACCTTCGCCATGGCCTCGGCGGTGCCCGAGGCCTTGTCCGTCCCCTCCACGGGAGGTTCATCATCCTTGCCAAAAATATCATCCGAATCTCCTCGTTCATCCACAGCCACATCGACATCCTTGAATACCTCGACAATGGGTTTTGACGCTGCCAAGGGGTACACTCTCGACTGCATATTTCTTGCAGCGCGAAGTCGTCTCTCGCGGATCCGCTCTCTCTCAAACTCGCGGCTGAGTTGCTCGAAATGTTTGGCAAGGTTGGAGACTCTGGACTCTTTACGGTTCGTAACCGCTCGCGGGATCAGCGACTGGCCTTTTGAAAATGTCTTGTTCTTCAGATGCGAAAAGCCTAGTCGTTCAGAGAGCTTTTTATCGGGAATGATCACATCAACATCACTGCTCTGTGCGGACAATGCCGGGCTCTGTTTCGGAAAACCATTGATCGCGTTGACGGCCGACAAAGTACTTGAAGCCGTCTGGGCAGCGGCCGCGCGAAGTGCAACGGAGCCAGCAGGTTGCGAGTGGGCTCGAGTGAGTCCCGGCGAGGACTTCCCATCGATCCGCCTTCGCAACACCGTCGTCGGAGAGGCATTCTGTATTCCGGGCTGAGGTAAATCTATTGGCTGAG